ACTTCTGAAGCCAGATGAATTACACACAAGCGCAGTATATTTAATAATCATTAACAAAAGCGAGGTATATGAAGACTGATGAAGAGAGAATTTTCCTGCGATTTATAATTTGAGATTGTTTCATTTTATCATCTTGAATGTAAAATCCTTTTGAAATAACAAATTCATTCTGAATGTTGTGTTGCTACGCACCTTTAACATGACCTTATTTACATTATTAATGCATGTTCCTGGGCTTTTTGTGAACAATTCATCTGGGCATGTTATTTAGAAAAAACAAACTGTTGACTTCATAATCTTTAATCAAAATGTACTTTGCTCTTTCTCTGAACTGATTTCCCCTTTCCGACGACATCACTTATGCCATGCAGGCTACTGAATAATGGCAGCCAATAATTATTTAGACATTGTTTTAACCGATTTGCTTTTTTTGTGCCATTCAGTATAGATTTATTATCAATATATACTACTGGTCAAAAGTTACGTTTTTTTAAATATTTTTGAAAGAAATCTCTTATGCTCACTGAGGCTTTATTTGATAAAAATACAGTAAAACTGTATTATGAAATATTACTGTTTAAAATAATTGTTGCCTATTATGAAATATTTTTATAATTTATTCCTGTGACAGCAAAGTTGAATTTTCAGCAGGCATTACTCCAGTCTTCAATGTCACATGATCCTTCAGAAATCGTTTTTGGTGCTTAGTTGTTATTATCAATGCTGAAAATAGTTTTTTGCTGCTTAATATTTTTGTGGAAAATATTATACAATTTTAAGGACTATTCAGGATTGTGTCACAGTTCCACAAAAAATATTAAGCCGTTTTCAACATTGATAATAAGAAATATCTCCAGCACCAAATTGGCATATTATAAATATTATATTAGCACATTAGAATATTAGCATATTGAAAATAAATCAATATATATAACATACAATAAAACTCAAAAACATCACATTACAGAAGTAAAATGGGCTGCAAACATCACTTTATATTGAATTTAAGAGAGCTGGTCTAAATTTAAGCTTTTCAGACTCAATTAAGTTATAAATTGAATTGACAAGGGTAATGGTTGCTGACAGTTTGAGGCACAATTCAAAGCTTTAGTTTTAGTGATTTTCTGCAACACCCGCTGACTGCAATGATAGAGCTTGGAATAGCCAGGACAATTTTTTATATAACTCCGACTGGATTCGTCTGAAAGAAGAAAGTCATATACACCTAGGATGCTTCGAGGGTGAGTAAAACACAAGCCAATTTGCATTTTTGGGTGAACTAACCCTTTAAGTGCTTTGCTCAAGTCACAATCAAATCAGCAACCTTCTGGTTACCAACCCTGATCCACTATGAGAGGCCATGCTCTCCCATTTTCTTTTCAATAACTGATATCCCTCCAACCGTCATTCAGCACTGCCTCAATATTGCTATCCTCCCTCATCAACTGAAAGCTCACCATTGCGCCTGCTTTCATCACAGTTCCTCTGTAAGAGGATGCCAAGTCCTCCACTCTCAGTGCTTTTGCACTTGTTCATCGGATTGTCAGTGATGGTTCCAGCAGACACTGATGAAGTGTGAAGTGAGGAAGGAATGTTTACAACCACTGTTTTTTTTGTTGTTGTTTTTTTTTGGTCATGGTCTTATCATGCAGTGGTAAAAGCCTTCAGCTAACACTGAAAAGATATTTACGTATATCTTTCATATCATTTATATATTTTTCTGTCTTTGGACTTACAAAAGATTATATATATTATTATATCTATGAGAAAATCCAGCTAACTATAGAAAACAAAAGTTGTCCTATAACATACACCCTCTCAAATAAATAAACTCTTTGAAATGTACTTGAAAAAGTGCAGACACACTGGCTAAACATACTACCTTTGACCACAATTACATACAAGCCAGAAGTGAAAGGAGTTAAGAGCAGATTCACCATGTTTGGCCCACATGTGGGCAGAGATCAACTAATGCATAATCCAGAAACACAATGACCTCAATCCTGTAAATCTGTCAATAGAATATCCGACACTCCGGAGGTGACTGTTGTAATGATAGCACAGACGTAGCTGTTATTTAAAACATCCTACACACGAATATGTATTTCTTTGTGCTATGCTCATCCTATTACTGGAAAATTTCACAGATTATTCTAAAATTCTTAAGTAGTTAGGAACTAGACGATGAGCAGAATTGGTGCATGCCTTTCCCCTTTTCCCTTTTTTGGAAATAATTCACCTCCAGCAAAATCTACAGTATAGCAGTGCTCCTCAAACTGGTTATGTGTCATATTTTACACTGGACTAGTAGTTGTGACCCAAGTACCACAAAATGTAAAACGTTAAAAAAAAGTCTTAATGCATTTCATATTTGATTTAAAACCAATCATAAAATAATAATATTGTCATGAGATGAAAAGACCCAACAAAACAACAAAATTATTAAGTAGGAAAACTGACAATATTTAAAGAGCATAGTGTGATTTACCAGCCTAACACATGGTACATGACAAATTTATATTAACACTGACAATAAAAAAGATATGGGGTTTTCCTCCCTATACTTTTATACTTTCCTCCCTCCCTATAATATACACTAAAAATACTTCTCTACACTAAGATCCCATCAGCACAGAATTGCAACCCATTTTAGTGGGTTCACTCCTATATTAAAACAATTCAGTTTGGCATGCTTTATACTAGAATACATGTTGTTAAATGCAAATTATGTTGTCAAATGAAATGCAAATTAATGCCAAAAAAAAAAAAAATCCAAAATTCTTAAAGGAAGTGTTTACACAAAGGCAACATGTTTGGCAGTGTATTTCATACACTGTTCACTACTGCGGAAGAAACTTGGGGCTGTTTTGGAGATGAAATCCTCCCTGCAAATCTACAACAGTCCTGAGGTGCAACACATCAGATTATCTGGTCTAGTCCAACCTATTTCTTCACATGCAATGAGGAGAACGCAATTTCAAGATTTTTTTTTTTTTTGAGGCGGAGGGCGATGGCAGTCATTGCAAAGCTAGGGTTGGTGGCATCATAATAAAACAGAGCGGTTTGTTTGCTGCAGAGATTTCCTTCTTTTCACTCCAAGCTGTCATTGATGAGCTGAACCAGAGCATGGGTCAAAGACTAGAATAAGCCCTCTGAACCAGGAAACAATCAGGAGGCATGTGGAACATTATAAGAAGCTGTACTGCTGCAGTGATAAAATGGATGAATACACATATTAATAAGAGGAACTAGAGCCACTATGCATCAGTGTTAACATAAATAAAGGATGTGATACGATGGGCACAAAACAATGTGTCATTAAGGACCACTACAACAATAGAAATGTACACAATAAGACACTTAATTTGATAAATTCATAAAAGCAGAAAATCAGTAGTTAATATTGAAAACTGGGGCTATTATTTGCAGTGTAGTTACAGTTCATAAGAAGAAATGTAATTTATCATTTAATATTAACTTTAATATAAAATAAGCTTAAAGTGCCCATATTATGCTATTTGAATTGTTTATAATTTGGTTTTGGGAGTCCACAACAACAGGTTTACATGCATAAAAAGGTCAAAAAACACTTTAATTTTCTTATAATACGCATTTACCTTATTTCTCAACTACTCTCAAACGATTCATTCGAAGATTCATCTTTCCAAACCGCTCCTTTGTGTGAGGCTACTCTGCTCTGATTGGTCCGATGACCCAGTCTGTTGTAATTGGTCTACTATGGAGTCAATTCAATGCCACATATATTCAACAAAAGAATTGAAGTATTGCAAAAGAAAATAGTTTTACAAACGAAAATGAAAGTATTGAGAAAAAATAAATGTGCTTTTTGTAAACAAAAATAAAAGAATTGCAAAATATAAATGAAGAATTGTGAGGAAAAAAAAGTTTTGCAAACATATTTTCCATGGCTATAGCTACTATTTTTTTTTGCAGTGCTGCTTTTATTTTGTGTTTCAGTCAAGTGTGAGCTTGCAATAATGTTTACTGGTCCAAACAAACTGGACACTGACCCATCTTTCAAGGACAACCATTTTATGAATCCTGCGTTGAACTCGCGGAGATTGGGGAAGCAAAATTTGGGGATTATACTTCTGTGGTATCGTAGTAAAGATGAATTTTAACCACTGATTCTTCACAGCCTCATTCTTTGGAAGTGAAAATAAACTGAATTTACTTTTTCACAGTGCAGAGCACAGCGTCTTGTCGACATATGATATCCACCAGTGATGTGACGTTCGGCACAGAGGCTTCGAAGCTTGTAACAAAAAAAAAAAAAAAACATCTCACAGTGAATTCGTTTTGCCATAATCACGTGATCTGTGACGTTCAAGCTTCATTTTTCGCACACAAACACCTGTGCAACTTGTTGAAAAGCTTTGAGTAATGAACCATTTTATGATACAGTTGAGGGGAAAGCATCGGTGCTTCGCAAAGCTTCATTTCACCATCACTAATATCCACACGAACGAGCTACAGCGTTTGAGGGGGTTCAAGTTTTCGTGGGATGTCCACGCAGGCGGGCATTATGCAAATGTGGTAACTTATGGCATATGAACTTCATGGAAATGGGATTCGAAATGTAAACGACTCGTTGAAGCGATTCAGTCGACTCCTTTTGAGAGACAATAGCTTTATTTATGATGCACTTTCAGCTTTACAACTTTGCAGACTGTTTACAGTCAGTTTACAAAAGCAGCTACGTTACACACTGCATGAAAGGTAATTTTCAAAAATCCATAATAGGGGCACTTTAATATTATACTGTACAACATATTTGTAGTAATTGATATATTTTACACCTTTTAATTTTTATACATTTAATTAAATTACATGTACAGTATTTGCCTGTTTAAAAACACAAGAAGGGTTTCATTATAAAACAATATACAAGTTTCTATAATATATTATCAGCAATTTTATATATATATTTTAAATATTTGTTGTGATCTGTTTCTACTAATTTTAATATTATTAATTAATTTTAATATTACAAATATACAAAAGCAGGAAAAGTAAATATTGAAAAAGGTTGCAGAAATATTTGCATCAAATTAATAGAAACTTTTCAGACAGGCATGCACATAAATGAGAAATACATTTTTTGTGTTAAATTGTTCATAAAAACATTGCTATACAAACTGTCAAATTCAGTTCAATGCAACAATTTATATAAGAATGGATTCATGGACAATTTACACAGAAATTCCTGCTCTTATTTCATGAATGAGGCCAATAGGGCTGTTGTATAAACAACCATTTCCTGCATCACACTTTTGACACTGGTGTAGGCGTAGCAACAGGCCATGGACCTTCTGGAAGAAACCCCTGGGAATCTTTGGATTCCGGTGTCTGACCAAATACTTCCACTGGGCTACAAAAATGTACATGATTGACTCTTTCAACTTTACCATTTAACCCACCCTGGCCAATACTGGCAGCTTGACAACCTCCAACTGGTTGGCTGGCCCAGCTGAAGTTCTGGCCGTTCTTGAGAGCAGCCAGATGTTTGATGTCCAGAGTAGCGAAGGTTGTAAACTGTACTTGATTCCTTTTGCTTGTGGGAGAATGTAGAGGTTCACTGCGAACAGGCCTTGCCAGCAGGGTGGCTGATCTGACAGCCATCAGAGGCAATGGAGCCATCGGATCCCGCCTTGGAGGAAGCGTGTTGGTTCTTCGCCCCAGAGTGGCAGTTCTCTCCTCACCTGCAATGGCTGGGATCTCCCTCGGCTGGATTGTCTCCGGGCCTCTGCTATTCTGCATCTGAATGGCTCTCGGGATCTTCACAGCTGCCTGCATCTCCTGCTTGGAGGTAGTTGCAATCGGCACAGCTCTGTTTTGCTCTGCAACTGTGCCTAGACGTACCCAGTGATGCTTGTGCTCAGACTGACCCTGGCACTGAACCGGAGACTTCTTGCTGCGTGATCTTGCACTGTTGGTAGCACAGTGAAGCAAGATGGCGATAACGGCCAAGCAAGAGAGTCCTACCAATGCATAGATGCAGACCTCTATGTCTGTGAACACACTAAACATCTGAATCAGATCGCTCTCCACTAGGGGTGGTTCTCGCTTGGGTTCTTCCGGTGGAAATGGGAAGTTGGCGTTCTCAAGCAAGTTTCCATATCCATTCTTTATTGGACTTCTGGGACCTACAGTAACAAGTGCTCTGTCTGCGACGGGCTTGGTAATGAGTGTTTTATCCATAGTGTTTATTGACTTAATTGTGGATACGCCATCTCCTATTGCTTCTTGAAAGTTGGATTTGGTTGCTGCTTTGATCGCATTTGTGGTGCTCTCTTGGATAACGGTGTGTTGAAGTGTGTTCAGAGGGGATGTAAGGATCAATTTGTCTCCATCCTCACCATCATTGGCCTCACTTTCTTTTTTGCCAGTCCCTGCAAGCTGTTCATCCGGCGGGAATTTCACCTTCACCATGCCTCCACCCACAGCCAGTTTGCTCTTGCGTTTAGATTTCTGACAGGCCTCACAGATAGCTAGCTCCGCTCTGAGCAGTAAGCCCTGTCCCTCGGCTTCAGCAACCACAACAAAGACGGACCCTGGGATCTTCCGCACAGATGCTACCCTTGGGTTCAGTGAAGAAATGGTGAGGGAATAACCACTGGGATCGAACAGATCAAGAGGAGTCTGGGAGCCATCACTGAACTTTAGCCAGCAGCCAACCACTGCCTCCTGTAGTATAAAATAATAATATAAACTTAAACATTATGTACCACTATAACAGGCTCATCCAAGTTTGAAGCATCAAAGCTGGTCAACTTGGAAATAATTTCCAGTTAGCATGATAGCTAGAACTACATCTTAATGATATGGCCATGTTAATTTCATATTAAGTAGCTCTTTGGCAGGATGTAGTATGTCAGCGGTGTCCAATCCTGCTCCTGGAGGGCCACTGTCCTAGCAGAGTTTAGCAACCCCAATTAAACACACCTGAACCAGCTAATCAAGGTCTTACTAGACATACTAGAAACTTCCAGGCAGGTGTGTTGAGGCAAGTTGGAGCTAAACTCTGCAGGACAGTGGCCCTCCAGAACTGAGTTTGGACACCCTTGTAGTATGTGATAGGCTTAAAAAAAACATGCATTGTTTGTGTTCAAAACTCCATTTGCTTAACCACCAGAGGGCACAGTGTAAGGTTTTTACTGTAACAAGCTGTGGCACAATAACCCAGAGCTGTTGGCTAATACAGTATAAGCAAACGGCACCACAGGCTGTCCTATATTCTGGGGTGAAATACATTATGCATTGCCTTAGGAGCTCTGCTTGCAAAGCCCATCAAGAGACGAATGAGGCCTCTCGCTGAGTACTAATAGCTTGACATTGATTGGATCATGTTATGCCACTCAGACCTGGCACTGAAACAGGCAGTTATATGAAGAAATTTAGAGCATAGTTGTACTCGTTGAACAACTCTTGTTCCTTACGCCTTAATGGTCAGGGCCTCTCGTAGATAGTGATTAACCTGTACCAGACACTAAAGATTCTTTTAAACAGCTTGGATGGATGATGCATTTCTTTAGTAGATAATATGAATGTCAATTTAATGTAAATGCAATGTTAATTTAGTACCTTTAATCATTTAAAAATAATTAAATAATAAAAATGCAAAAAAGTTTTTTTATTTATAATTATTAAAAGTATTTAATTTATTAAAGACTGAAAGAGTCGTTCATGCAGGACAGAGTTTTGTGTTGTTGAACTGTTTCTAATTTCACACAGTATTTCAAAACCAGTACTCATGGTGCAAAATGCAATGCACGGGTAATAATGCATGAATCTATAGATTGCTTTGCACTGTACAATATGCCAGTTCAATGTTCAATGATATGGAAAAAAAAAACTACAATACATTGACATTTAAAGCCACTTGTTCTATTCCATTTTTATGTGTCAACCACAATTAACGTCACGTCTTTGAATTATCTTTTGGGGGGCTTTTCTCTTGTCTCTTATATATGCAATTTTTTTGTGGTTTGATTAATTAGCTTATAATTTGATTAATTAGACTGACAGCCCATGTAGCTACATGAATTACCTGCTTGGGGTAGTGTATGATCTCCTGTGTAGTTGTCTTGGCAACGATGGCCCTGCTTCTTCCTGGGCTGAGCTGCAGGTTCAGGGAAAGGCCAGAGACCAGCTGCACGCCCAGCTCTGTAATACTGACTTTATCATCCAGAACCCGGATCATCCTCTCAGCCAGAACAGAGTCTGACAACGGAGAGATCACCTGATCAACAGAAACCAAAACACAACAGAAAACAGCATGGCATCATTTCTAATTTATTTGTCTTCCAATAAAAAACAAGCACAAAACAAGCAATCCATCTATGTGCTGTCTGTATTGTCACTCAGGCTGCGTTTACACTGCAAGTCTTAATGCACAGATCCGATCTTTGCCCAGCTCTGTAATACTGACTTTATCATCCAGAACCCGGATCATCCTCTCAGCCAGAACAGAGTCTGACAACGGAGAGATCACCTGATCAACAGAAACCAAAACACAACAGAAAACAGCATGGCATCATTTCTAATTTATTTGTCTTCCAATAAAAAACAAGCACAAAACAAGCAATCCATCTATGTGCTGTCTGTATTGTCACTCAGGCTACGTTTACACTGCAAGTCTTAATGCACAGATCCGATCTTTTGACCATATCCGATTTTTTGGCACATCTGTTTACAGTCACTTTAGACACGACTGGTATCCGATATCTGTGTTTACATTAATTCCCACTGTAGCGTCTGCGTAGAATCATGCATGATCTTTGGGGTTATATGGCTTAAGAGACCCTTTTAGCCTTTTGACATTTGCATATAAATTACGGTCCTGGTCACAGACTTTACGTTTGTATGGGGGTCTAAATTGCCAAATGGTTCCTCGCCATCAAGGAGATTCTAACCAGTCCCCCCCACTATCATCTCCCCCATCTGACGTTAAAATTATTTATATAATTCACGTCGAATGGCCATTATTATTTGCCAGCATGGACAACGGCTGTCATGGATGTTTTGCAGCACAAAATCTGACTGAACGGATAAATTCCGATCTGTGTCAGATGTGAGCGAAAGATCGGATTTTTTGTGCCAGTGTAAACGCAGCCTCATATTAACTAAACCCACACTAAACTTTGTTGTCTTAATGAATAATGAGAATCGTGCAAAGCTGACATCTGCGGGCGACTCTATCATTATTACCATTACCTGCACAGTGGTGACTCCCACAGCCTTGCCTGTCAGCACGGATCCTGCCTGCAGGCGAGCGACGCTCGTATCCCCAACTCTCAGAAAGTAGCGCACCAGCCACGTCACATCTACCTGCCAATCAGAGCCAAGGAAGTATGCAGGAGATGGGCTGCTTGGATCTGGCGATTCTGCGGTGAAGACCGTAAGCACTCGAATCAAACTGTGCTGATACTGCAGCATGCAGCCTCGGCCCTTCCTCTCATCCTCTTCCTCTGTGTCCCAGCTCACTCTGAGAAACATGCAGAGAGAAGATGAACAACTCTTTTCCTCACTTTCCTGTTCTTAATATATGTTTTTTTTCTGCTATCTGCTATTTGACTATGCTCAGCAATCTCTCATCTCTACCTTATAACGAATGTCTCTGCAATGTCATAAAAAACTGCCAGGAGATCTCTGCGGAACACATTCTCTATTCGAACAAAAACGCCTTGGAGCAGTTTTAAAGTGGAAAAAGTCTGTATGAGGTGGAACATCAAATATAGAAGTTCTGAGCTAGGAACCAAAATTAAAAATAAAATGAGAAAATAAAATTCACAGTGGAATACAGGATTCAAAATTCAAGAACAATTCACAATATAAATTGTGCATTAAAATATTATTAAAGGGTTAGTTCACCCAAAGTTTTACTCGCCCTCGAAGCATCCTAGGTGTATGTGACTTTCTTCTTTCAGACAAATCCAATCGGAGTTATATTAAAAATTGTCCTGGCCCCTCCAAGCCTTTCAATGGGGGTAAGCGGGTGTTGGTTGTCAACAGTTCAGAAGACGTGAAATAAAGTGCGTGCATCCGTAATAAAACGTCCCTCACACAGCTCCAGGGGGTGAATAAAGGCCTCCTGTAGCGAATCCATGCATTTTTGTAAGATAAATATCCATATTTCAAATGTAATAAACACTTTTTCTCACTTCCGCTGACTGTCATACGCGGAAGCTGTTCCGGCGGATGACGTAAGACGTCGACGTTGCGTGATGATTAGTGACGAACGCGGAGACAAAACAAAACAAAACGCCATTCACGAATTAGAAGCACAAAACGAGGATTTGTAAAGAAAAGTGTTGGAGGATTTCGATATAAGCCAAGAGGAGACTGGTTTTCCTTTGCTAAAGTAAGGAAACTTTGCTCCTGCATTTCTCAGAGGCGCGCGCAAGATGCCTACGTCATCCGTCTGCATGTCTTCTGCGTACCACAGTCAGCGGAAGTGAGAAAACAAGTGATTATTACGTTTGAAACATGGATATTTATCTTACAAAAAAGCATGGATTCGCTACAAGAGGCCTTTATTCACCCCCCGGAGCCGTGTGAGGGACGTTTTATTACGGATACTTGCACTTTATTTCACGTCTTCTGAACTGTTGACAACCGAACACCTGCTTACCCCCATTGAAAGGCTTGGAGGGGCCAGGACAATTTTTAATATAACTCCGATTGGATTCGTCTGAAAGAAGAAATTCACATACACCTAGGAAAAAAAAGTTAATGTTAATCATTAAAACATATTTTAATATTTGTCAAATTTAAGAACATAAACCACACTTATTTATTTATAATAATATTAATAATTTATTTATAATAATCTCTCATCTTTACCTTATAATAAAAGTCTCTGCAATGTCAAAAAAGTCGGGAAATCTCTGCACAACACATTCTGTATTCTAACAAGAATGATTTGGAGCAGTTTTTAAGTGGAAAAGTTCTTATGAGGTGGAACATCAAATATAAAAGTTCTGAGCTAATTTGGGGAACTGAAAGTAAAAAAATATTATTGACAACCAAACCATAGACAATTAAATAAATGTTAATAATTAAAAATCTTTTTTAAATTAGTCAAATTTAAGAAAATAAACCACATATGTTTATTTATAAAAGTGTATTAATTTGTAAAAGCAGGTTTCTAAGCTGTGTCACTATTTAGATAAATGTATTTAAAAGTGCAAAATAATATTATTATACATGAAGAGTTCATTTGCAAAAACCGATAAATGCCACTTTTAAAAAAAATGAGCTGATTGCCGTACATTATTCTCCACATATAGCGCGATCTGAACCTTAAACACGTTTTGACAAAAAAGCCGGTTTTGTCCACTTTCAAGGCATCGCAAGTTCACGGTTTACTGCAGAAGCCGACAAGCGCCCTTGTTGTTTTTGAACAGATGATATCTTCTTCAGGGCGAAAAAGGAAAATAAAAGCTTAAACGTTTTCACGTGACCTTGCAAAAGCAAGGAAAAGCTCCGTGTATTGAGTGTAATCACATCCATACAGTTTATGATCACAACAACAACAACGTTTGTCAGGCGTCTACATTGTCATCTGAGGAGATTACAAAGATTAAACATGTTAATGTAAAAAAAAATTATTTTGTAAATTACCTGTATTTGTTTAAGTTATTATTACTTAATCAAAACAACCCAACTGCAGTTTGATTGATATTACTTGGAATGCGCAATAAAAAAAAACATGATTTCTGAAAAAAATAAAAGTTATGGGTTTTTGCAAATGAACTCTTCACATTTGAATAATACCCACAACTTCTATGTGGATATCAAATGACTAAATGCTGACTAAAAGCACCAACATTTTAACCATATGAAGCTTGTTGTGGCAGTGTGTCATTGGAAATATGCTTGTCTCTTACCTTTTGTTCCCTGTGACAGGAACTCTCCAGGCTTTGATCTGACTGAGCTCTGGATCAGATATCTCCATATGCAAGGGGAGTCGAGGCATCCATACGCTCACCTCAAGCTGTGTGCTCAGGTAGCTGTAGGTGAAGTTCACCATCATCCTCACTCTTCCACATGTCTCCTTGCCATTAACATACACAGAATCACACCTTTCAGACACCTGTGTGTGAAAAGGGCATATTAAGATTAGTGTTGTTTAACAGGTAGCATGGGTTTAAAGACATTTTAATAGATCAGTCATAATATTTAGGAGGAAAGGGGTATCTTATTCCTCAGGTGCTCAATTTGTTTATGTTTCAATATTGGCTACATATCATCAGTGCAATCATCTAGCCACATTGGTTCACCTAAAACTGCTACATCAGGGACAACACTAGATGATCCCCCAGTGTCTGAAGAACATCAACTCTAACCTAGCTAAGAGAGCTCTCTATCATCACAACCAGCCACGTTCAGTTACCTTTACTTCACTGGTAACAATGCTATGACCACTTAATGATGCATTCTATAAGAAAACTGTAAGATCAGACCCTTGCAGACCCTTGTTGGCTGGGCATCAACAATTAAACAAGAAAGTGGTCTTTAATAAAACCAACTGGTCTTATATTCAGCCCCTTTGTGTTTCTGCACTGGCTGACAGTAGCTGCCTACATCACTACAGAAATGTTTACAAGTCAATATTCCTTCCCAACTTCTGCAGTTTGGGAGTCGTGCATTGTGGTTCCAGAGCACGATCAATCTTCCACATTCAATGTTTCTCAATGGTGGAATCTAAATCTTAACCAAAAATCTAGTCTCTTCAGTTTCACTGATGTCTACACCTGAATCTCTAAATATCTAATTTTGGTACTTTGTATTGCAGAACTCGCAGAGTCTTATATTACTGGATAATTTTTTTGTGGTGTGACATTCCTTATTTTTACATGGCTTTGGATATAAATGCCTGCTAAAAGAATAAATGTAAATGTAAAAAAAGATAAAGATGTTTTATGGTAATGCAGACATGAGCATCAGTGTGGTGTAAGGTAATGAGCCCTGTGTACTGTACATTGTTCTATCTCATTAGGAAAAGCTATGGGCACTGTTGCATCACTGTTTCATTCACCCCCAGTACTTCGAAGACTAAGTTATAAACCACAGATCTGGTCTGACTCTGAACTATGTGCCATAAAAATCTTTTCAAGACAAAAAAAAAAAAGAGAGAGACTTGTGCACTTCCTCTATTTTCAAAGTAATGTAATGTATTCATGTGGTGAGTTAAGGTGTGCATGTGTAAGGACACATGACAGCGCATGGGTTTGTATGCAGTAGTTCAGTCATTCCTTGTTTGTTATTTACTACTGAATAAGTTAGTGAGTCCCTCCATTTATGTTTTAAGGCTTAAACTGGAAAAGACAAGCTCAGGAGGGCACTGGAGATCTTTATATCCTCAGATACTCACAGTGAAAGTGTGAAAGTGACTGTTTTATGTGGAAAAACTCCAGCAATAATAAAGAGCTCAAATTCTTCATAATAAGCATGCAAAAAAGAAGACTGTTATCAAGGGCACAAAATTCAAATAATCAAATTATATAACTGTGCATATTTTAGATTTAGATTACAATTTTCAAATGTAAAGGAAAATAATTTCTATATCTTTCATTATTGAAGTCAAAGGTCCATTCAAACTCAGTCACACAAGGTCAACGAGAATACATTAAATATGGGTTCCCTCGCAAAAAAGATAAACATGGGTTTGTGCTGTGAATTATTTCCTGCGGGGAGGATGAAATCACGAAAAGGGTTATTTAGTTAAATTATCCTATTCAGCTTATGTCATGTTGATAATTTTGCATATTGTTGGGCCTATGCGGTTTATGGTAATATGAATAAATTATAAGCACATATTTGATTACTTTTGGTACTGTGTCTGATATAAGATTTTGCTCCTGAGGCAAATCCAGTTGACCCAGAGGACAATCCAGCAATAACAAAGGGCTAAAGTTCTTCATAATACACAGGGGAAAAAAGACAGGTGTGCTTTAAAGGGATAGTTCACCCAAAAATGTTTTTGGGTGAACTATCCTTTTAAGTAAAAAACACAAGTTCAATGAGGGCTTGCAAGTCAACGTCTGTCTCCCTCCTCTGTTTTTCTCTTTTTAGGTGAGGAACTAGGAAGTGGTGGTTCTCTAAACCGAATTCCCTGACCCCTCTCTCCAGTGCTCTTCAGGTCTGATAGATAAGTCATTCAGAAGCAGAGTAAGGCTGCTAATAAGAAGCACACAGAGTGTGAGATTGCTAAAGCTGTCAAAAGTGGCCTGACTTTGACATGCATTACCTTCAGAACATCCTGGTCTGAAGACCTGCAGTGAGATGAGTTAGTGATGTCTGTGATGGATCCATCAGCCTCAACTCCCAAAACTTTCACAGGCACAGAAACCCTCTTACCAGTCAGCACGGCCGTGTTGAGGAGCTCTGTATCCTGGAAAAGCACAACAAACAACACTCATTTAGCACTAAATTTGACATGCCCTGACAAAAGGATAAAAGTTTCAAATTTAAATGTATTCTACATGTTGCATATTCTGCTGAATTTTACCAAGATGATGTGATCTAGCTGGCTAACATATATATTCAGTATAAATCTCAATTTCAAAAAACTGACCCTTATAGCTGGTTTTGTGGTCCAGGGTCACATATGAGGATTTTTTTTTTTTATGAATTTGCAAAAATATGACTCAAAGCATCTATAAGAATCTGATGAAAACTACATACCAATCAGTAATGTTTAACATCATATGCAAGTGTTTTCCAACAAAAGGGTTTATGAATTTATGGAGTTTTATAAATTTCATAATTTTTTTTTTTTAAATAATAATAATCGTTGAAAAAAAATTGTAAAGAAAACAATGTAATGTAAATATTTGTAGCAAATATTTGTAGTAAATACTTTGCTAAACATAAAAATAAAACCCTTTTTTGTTGGGGCCAAACTAATTTTGGCAGGGTAGAAAAGTCGAAACTACTGGCCCAACTAGACAGAAAAACAATCCTTGTTGGGTCCTGAATAGAGCAGCCAAAAACTTCCATCTGAATGCGTATGGCTGTAGTGGTGGTGCTTTAAAGGAGATTAATTTAAAGAGACTTTTCTGAGAGTTTTACTGTGCAAACAAACAGCACACTAATTAAAATATCCACACTAAAAATATCAAAACTAAAAAAAAAAAATTTAACTAGTCTATCACACTAATACATCTCACAGTGTCCCATCCCTAATTAGCACAGAGTTATGTACATATGGAAGAAATATGACGCACTGTAAACAAAACAGGCTAACACTAAGAACAAGCACTCTCATCATCTAATAAGCTCCTATGAAGTATCTCAGTTTGGTGGTGAGTAAAAGCTAAAACAGGTCAAAAATGTCATGGCAATTTTTGGACTCAGACTCGCTCTGTTTGAGTTTAATACCCTAATGATTATCTTACAGTGTGCCACTGTGATGACGAACACACTAGGATGATTAGGTTTGAGAGTAGATTTAACTTCTAGACCCAACAGATGTCCACGAGCATCCTCCAAATGCAACACAACAGATGCTGACTGTGATTTGAAAAGTTACTGGAAAAATCCCACACTCTTATACCGGTGTTATTTTAGAGACAGGGTCATGCTGTGAAATAGACCGTTCCAGTAAACAAATCTGGCAGCTAGCTTTATAATGGACGCTTGATATCAATGAATTGTCACAATCTCTTTTTGTTTTATTTGTCTTGAACATTTACATGATAAAAAGCTATATTATTATATTTTAATGGCTGCTGGTGAGCTTGTAATAAAGGGATGCATGTGGATGGCTTTGGGAATTACGTGTGTGTGTCCTCATAAAATGAATGTCAGTGAATGTCAGGGTCAATTCTGCGGTAGTTTGACCAATGGTAGGGAATGGTTGGAAGAGATCAAAGGGCGAAAGAAGTGGCACTGTGCCTCTGGACAATTAACACACATATACACACTCACAAAAACACACAGACAGAACAAAGACACATAAATCATGTATAAAGGCTGTCATTGTAGCTTTATAGTAAAAGGACTGTTCTCAAAGCATGACAAATACTTGTCACACCAATGTGATTTCATTTTGAAATGTCCACGCTTCACAGACGTCCTTACAAAACGTGACCGCAAAAAACCTTACAAAAGTTAAAGGGATAGTTCATTGAAAAAATAAAAATCTGTCATTTATTTACCTTCATGTCATTCAAAATTATGCTTTGTTCTAAACAAAAGTAAAAATTGTAAAATAATTTTTACACAGATCTTTCCAAACAATGATTGTTTTATATAGATATATACAGTAGGGATGCTTCGATCTGCCTTTTAGCCTACGCTGCCTGCGTTCAGAGCGGATATTCTCCAAAATGGTGCAACGGTGATGCGGAAAGACACACGATGAATTGTTGAATAAAGTCGTTATTTTTGTTTTCTTCGCGTACAAAAAGCATTCTCGTCGCTTCATAACGTTACGGTTGAACCACTGATGGCAGATGGACTATTCTGACGATGTCTTTCATACTTTTCTGGACCTTGACAGTGCAAGTCAATGGGACAGTCACAAGCCTCCCGGTTTTCATCCAAAGTATCTTAAATTATGTTCCGAAGACGAACGAAGCTTTTACGGGTTTGAAACGACATGGGGGTAAGTGATTAATGACAAAATTTTGCATTTTGAGGTGGAGTAACCCTTTAAGCTATGCTATGGCTTCAGAGCAGAGGTAACACAATACGCACAATCTCGGATTTGGATCGGCTCTCTCTGACCGATACCCGATCCGACAAAAATGGCAGTATCGGAGCCGATACCCGATATGAATATCGGATCAGCGCATCCCTAATATACAGTATATATATATATATATACGCTTCTGTTTTTTCTATATATAATAGGACATAAACGTTTTTTAACTGTCCCTGAGTACGTATTGCTAATGAGTGTATCAGTAAGTTCATTGCAGGAACATGGTTCAGCTCACACCACGCCTTTCAGCCAGAATTTGCTTTGATAAAGTGCTTTTATATAACTAATAAAAAGGCTAAAATGAAACTTTTAAACAACTTTTTACGATTCATGCAATTCTATATGGTGTGCTAAAGCTCTCACGTAAAAAGGAAGCTTTGAAAGCATCAGAAAAGTAAGTGCCTGTGTAGAAAAAGCTTTTCCAGATTGGACAGATCCTTAGAGATTTGATTCAAAACTCTGCAAACCGTTATACTATATAGCCTTAAATGATGCAATCTCACATTGATTTTTGCTTTCAAGACCATTGTTAAGGGATAAGGGGTGAAAGGTCAAGTGAGCCATGACCCATCATCACTATTCTGTATTAAGTGTTTCCCAGCACAGCGTTAACTTTTCCATTTGGCTCTTCACTGGTTAATGTGGAGATCTCTGCTTTAATCTTGTGGAATGTGCTGGTCTTTAAGCTGGTCTAACACACTGATGCACTGAGGATGATTAAAGTTAAGTGGGTCGTCGCTGTAAAACATGGAAAGAAGGGCACCGAAAGAAGTAGTCAGGAGATACTCTACAGCTTGCTTAATGGCAGCTGGTGACAGCTCCCATTGTTGAGCTATTATAGTTTTCACATTTTTAAGAGCATTTGATTGTACAAAACTGATATATATGCAAGTGCAAGATGAGTCATCAATAATTTTACTTCATTACTATTTAAAGGTTTGGGCTCAGTAAGACTTTTTGTCTTTACTATTCAGCAAGGATTCATTAAATTGATCAAAAGAGACAGTAAAGCCTATTCTTTTGAAATTTCTATTCATCATAGAATCCTGAAAAAGTATAATGGTTTCCAAAAAACACAGCACAACTGTTTTCAACACTGATAATAATAAGAAATGTTTCTTGGTAATAATAATAAGAATATAACAATAAGAAATGCTTCACCAAATCTGCAGTTTAGAATGCATTCTGAAAGATCATGTGACACTGAAGACTGGAGTAATGACTGCCATAAAAAAAACTGTTTAAAATAGTTCTCAGAAAAATAATTTAGAATACAGTTTATCTCATTCATTTCCACTGGCCGAATAATAATTCAATTGTTTTAAAAAAATTCAAATTAAATTAAATTAATGCAGTTTTGCTGATAAGGTGAACATCTTTTAGCTATTTTTAGTGGGAAAATATAGGCCTATATTCATTGCAGTGTAAATACAATTATCTGACTCTGCGCGTCATTGACAAAGTATTTTAAAAAGGAAACGTGCAAATCTTACCGTTTCCTGAAATAGAGCTTAAATAGTGACATAGTGAAACAAATACTGCAGGCTCTTTCAGTCTATCATCTATCTACTGCAGCTTTTTGAAACATCAACACTAATGGAGATGATGGGAGGAAGATCATTTCAAGTACTTAAACACCACTGTTAATTATTTTCTAGCTTGGCAAGTTGCCTTGTGTTATTTTAAAGACACTATATATATATATATATATATATATATATATATACAGTGTGTATATATATATATATATATAAACATTTTATCAACCTCAAAATTTGAACAGTACATCTGCTTTTTAAAAAATATTATTTTGCCTTATACAAGTACACTAGATGACTTCAAAGTTAAAATACATGGACCAAAAGCCACAAAACTCCTATTTAAATTTAAATGTAATAATCCAATGAAATAATGAATCAATATTTAAAAAAGTTATTGTTAATGTACAGCATGTTACAAGCTGCTAGAACTATATATATATGCTACTTGTATTATAGTACAGTACATGATACATGCTATACTCTGCAATAATATTGGCAACCCATTGCCGTGGACACTGAACAAGAGCCGATGAGACCAAGAGAAATATGACACCCAGATGGAGACTCTTATTAACAAGATGCTCACAGTATTCAAGACGCATTTGAATTGGATCCAAAAACACTCAAATCTCTTTATATGAAAACCAAGTCAATCGCTCCCCAGCTTAGATGCACATAGGTAATATGAACTCATAGCTCATTCTTCTTAATAACAGCGGAGGAATTGTATGTTTTCTGTGGTTACTAGCAGCTGAGGTGATGGAAAGATATCACATTTTTATTAAGTTATTTTCAGTCGCTTTCCACATAAATACCTAATGTTATGGAATTGATTTGTGCCATCAATCATGAAATCGCAAAGTGGTGAGTTTTTCTGTGAAGCTACTGTCTGTGCTTAATAAGTGTCTGTACAGGGTAAACGCAGTTAACCAGCACCTTTTTAACCAGAAAAAGATGGTATTTAAATTTCATTCAAAATACCACCCTGCAAAAGGCGAACAGGTTGTCTGAACATCTGTTAGTACCTGAACAATGGGGGCTGGGGGGGTGATTAGAAGGTTGTTTTTCTCTGTCAAAAAATAATTTTGCAATCTGTCATTTAATTCTCACAGTTTCAGAGGTAACAGACCACAGCTGGTGATGTGCAAGGGCAGAAAAAGCTTTTTAGCAATGAAATGCCTTTGAAATGTGAACTACGGAGAGTCTGCGGTTCAGTGGTTTCTAAGAACAAAGAGGGTGATGCAGCGAGGGCTTGCCTTTTGCTAGTAAAGGTGCTTTTCTTCTGGCAGGTCACAGAGATGGTTTGGGTGTCACTTCCTCTTGCAGGTTCCAGAGTGATGTCCCACAGGTGTGCGTCGCTGGGTCTGGCTGTGCTGAATGACATGCCTTTTCTTGATGTGGCTCTATGAAAAGGAACACACAAACACACAGATGGCATCAGTGGAAAAGTCTCAGCTTCAGGACTGACTGCCTGAAGCATACTGGACACAAAAAACGACAACAGCTGGCTTAGATGGTCAGTTGGAATCTTATTGGCTGCAGCTAGTAGGATTTACACAAGTACAGTTAATATACACTACCATTCAAGTATAGAGTCAGTAAGAAGTCTCTTATGCTCAACAAGGCTGCATTTATTTAATCGAAAATACCGTAAAAACAGTAATATCGTTAAATATTCTAACAATTAAAATGTTAATATGTTAATATATTTAAAAAATGTAATTTATTCCTGTGACAGAAAAGCTGAATTATCAGCAGCCATTACTCCAGTCTTTAGTGTCACATGATCCTTTAGAAATCATTCTAATATGCTGATTTGGTGCTCAAGAAATATTCTCTCATTCTCATTATTATCAATGTTCAAAACAGTTGTCCTTTTTCTGTCCTCTATTTCTGAGGAAATCATGATACATAATTTAACGAAAAAAGTTCAAAATAGCAACAGCATTTATTTGACAGACAAATATTTCGTAACATTTTAAATGTCTTTACTAAATGTCACTTGATGAATTTAAAGATTTAAACAGAGAGTGTGTGTCTGAACCCCGAACGTTATCAGGAAGGTTATTCCAGAGTTTAAAAGTCAAATTCGAAAAAGCTCTACTCCACTCCACTCCTTTAGTGGACTTTGCTATTCTAGGTACCACCAAAAGTCCAGAGTTTTGCGACCTTAGGGAGCGTGATGGATTGTAGCGTGGTAGAAGACTAGTTAGGTACGCAGGAGCTAACCCGTTAAGGGCCTTATAGGTAAGTAATAATATTTTGTAACTGATACGGAACTTAATAGGTAGCCAGTGCAGAGACTGTAAAATTGGGGTAATATGTTCATATTTTCTTGACCTGGTAAGGTCAATGCATCATTGGTGAACAAATTTAATTTAAAAAAACTTATCAAAACGTTTGAACTTAAGGACAAAATAACTAAATTTGCCAAAATATTCCAGTTTAGCATTGCCTCTGGGCAATACTGAAAGGAAAAACACACACACACACACACACACACACATGCTCACACAGTAAACATCCATGTATGATACAATGAACATGTCCAGTACTAACTGAATGTTTGCCAGAGGGCATGTGTGTTAAAGACGCTGACCTGCACATCGAAAGGTTGAGGTGGAAAACATTCACCTGTCCTCTGATGGACAGAAAATTAACAAACACATCTCAAGCCCATCTGCGCTGACATCCCTGTCCATTCAACCCGACTCATGGAACATTTATAAAAAATAAATAAACAAACAACATGTTCAAACTGGTTAATGGCAGTAGAAGGGAGATATAATTGACAGCTTTTAAATCCTGTTCGTAGGACCTGTGCTAACCATGGGTTGAGGTCAGTTGGCATGGCTCTCAATTCCCTGTTTCACTTGCCAGTTTTAAATCTTGGCTCAATATCTATTGCAGAAAGAGCGATTGGACATTTAACAATGTTGTATTTATCAAGGGTGTAGAGCGAGTATGCCGCTATGGAGAATTTAATCTCTCTGTCTCCTTTGGCTTGGGCCAACACAACCACATGTCCACCATTCAGTTTAAAGACAGAGCCAAACGCTTCTTTTCTCCTCTTTTTTTTTTTTTCTCCTGTATCTCTCGGCTTTATCCACCAGCCAGACAGTTCGTCGGTCCCTCCTCTCCACTGATGGGACTTAGAGACTGTGGAGTCTTGCCACGTGAGAATCTCACAGACATGTGCTGGAGTCAGGCGTCTTGGGAACCGCGGCCAGAGAGGAAACAGGTCACAGTGGGAGAAGTAGAATGAGCGCGGCTGACAGCATTGTGACACACTGCATTATCTTTCCTCGACCCCTCATCCATCTTTTTTTTTCTCAGTTTCAAGCCACACACTGCATTTCTGCCTCAAAAACAACAGATTTTTATGCAGCGGATCTCAAATGATTCATTAGCAATGTGCACAATGAGACCACAATTAAATGACACATGCAGATGTGCATTTTAATGATTCTTTCCCAGAATGTATGATGTGTTAACACACACGTGATGGGCTTTTATCTGGTATTGAGAAGAAATACATGATATCACGGCTGATATCAGTTCACATCGCATGTAGATCTCTGGGACAGCGTCTGTCTATCAACCCCTGGGACTCAAGGGAGAGGGTTCAGAGTCTGTCTTGACCCATTTTGTATCGTCGTCATCTTCAGTGCAGACGTGCAATTTTTAGAGACAGATGACGCCCTCAGTTGGATAATCCAAACATTTTAAATTGCAGGGAAATGAAGAGAAACAATGAAAGCATGAGAGGAAAATAAGAGAGAGAAAAAAGAATTGCAATACAGAGAGAGAGAGAGAGAGAGAGAGAGAGTCTGTGAGTGTGTTCTGTTTTGGTCTGCCAGGGGAAGAAACACTATGCATGAGTGGAAAAAGAATTCAGTCAAATCTATAATGAGGATCTTGATGGAATGAATCTCTGACACGAAATCAAAGACAAACGAATATTGATGTGGGGCTGCCTGCAGGATGAAGTATAAAAAATAGAATAGAATTCGTAACATTAATAAGTAGTATTACATATGAAATATTAATGTTCATATTAACAGATTAATAGTTTGTGTCTATTCAAATATATGAATGAAGCAAAACATTTCTATCTACATACATGATCTGTTGACCAGTAGAATCGAATCACTTAATATTATTCATTAATAAGAAATATTAAAATAAAATATTATATAATGCATAACAGATCATATTTTGTCCAAATATATCAATAAAACAAAATATTTTAATCATACTATTTTGATTAAATGAACATTAATACTCTGTAAAGCAGCAGAATAGACCATTATACTTTTCATATATTTATTATATAATAAATATAATCTAATATATTATCAAATATAAAGTAGAAAAATATGTAAAATTAGCAGAGAACAAAACAGAAAAAGAACCGTTTCACAGTAACATTCATTATTAAGTAATGTTATATAATAATTATTATCTAATGCTTGGATCAATAGTTTGTCTATTCAAATATATAAAATAAACATTTCTAGCTAAATGGATTTTTATTAATCTGTTAAGCAGAACATTAAAAAATTACCACTTCATTATATTCATTTAGTAACACAACATATACAAATATATACCATATATTTATGTATTCTGTGCGGTGTATAATAAATGTAAACAAGTTATTTTCCAAAGGAATTTTTTTTTTAGTGACGCATTAGAAAACATGTTAGTCATGTTGCACTGCACAAGGCACTTTGTGATGTCTAATGGGTGTCTGAGCTAGTCTATGTAGTCCAGGCAGCCTCCAGTTCAAATAACTTTCGGGGTAAAAGAGAGCAGTTCTCTGAAGGGTTAAAGACTTCACTAATTTTCAATCAGTGTGTGGATTATCTATCATAACCTCAAGGGTCTGGACTCAATCTTGGAGAGAGTAGTGAAGTGAGGCAGAGATTTTTCCCTGGATAAAATCAATCTCTTTGGGATACCAGTCTTCACCTCACTTTACTGCTAACACTGAAAGCAAATGTCCATTTGAGCCAGGGCCGGGGGCAAAGTAAACCCTATCAGAGCCGAATGAAGGGCCGCATGGATATTGGGGGCTCAGGTGGTATATGGGGCTCAGCAGCCGGTCAAATGTATATCTCAGATCACAAGCAGGGTTCCTCAACTTCCCAAAATAATCAGAACAAATCAAAGTCTCAAATCAGTCCAACTGTATTGTCCAAAGAGAGTCAAAACACTTTTGGGAATAGACAAAATCTCAAAAATAAATAAAAAAATATCCCCACACTAAATACCATCTAAATTAAGCTACTCTGGAATTTTGACTATTGGCTTACAATATGGGTCAGAATACAATTCACCTCATCAGTTCTTGGGGACGTTTTTTCCGCCCAGTTTCTTTTGCCTTCAAGACAAACGCAAACAAACTTATGAGCAAAATAACAGCTTCACCAATACAGGAAAGAACAATACCTTTGTTCCAAAACATGCCTATAAATCCAATTTCACTCATTTATGTGTTCTTACTCCATTGCTGTGGGTTGAGACTTAGAAAAAAAACTGATTGCACTGTGTGTTTTTGTACGATAGAGCTCTCGCTGTAATATGTTCACTTCTGCCCAAAGGACTCAAGTAGTTATTAGGTATTTGTTTTCTTGCTCCATTAAGTTGATGCATTATTTATGTGGAGAGAAGCCGCACAAACAATGCAATGTTAAGAAATGAATGCTGCCAAATAATTTCTCCATTATTTTGCCATTTATGGAAGAGTGCCTTTGAAACTCCTCCAGTTGGAAAAGTGAATTGAGCCGGCACGAGGTTATTACATTTTGGTAATCTGTACACTGAGTGGGACCATTACATTCTCTCGGCTATGAAGTAGCATGACTGTAGTGTTGCATAATTGTTAAATTTGCACTAAGCTTCTGGTGCGTTTGACACATCTGTTGGCTCCATGCCACACTTCTATTCCAAATGGGACGCTGTTATCTCAATCCCCAATGCACCTCCTCTTCATCTTATTTTGGCCTGACCCAAAGTCTCTTCCAGGAAAACAGTTGACATTTGTTGTGCCATCTGAGAAAACCATATAATCCTGAAAAGAGTAAATCCAATTTCTCAGCACTGCATTATGTGCACAGATTTTTTTCAGACTTCCAGATTGCAGCATGTGAAATGATTGTAGCCTGAAAGCCAGGTTAGATCTACCAGACACTTGTTTATGCCATATTTTGTAACGATCTTATTTACTTTAAAATGCATCCACTCTCATTAAAGGGATTCACCCGAAAATGAAAATATTGTTTTGGACCTGACTTCTACTGTACAGTCAAAATCAGTTTTTCAAAATATCTTCTTTTGTGCTCAGAAGAAAGAGAGTCCTACAGGTTTGGAACGACAAGTAAATACTTTTTGGGTAACTATCCCTTTAAGCAAAATTGGCAGATAAGAAAACATGATCTCAACCTACTTGAGTATGAAATGTTCAACTGGCGATGTACTTGTTAGGAACACGTAGAAAGTTGCGGTGTCTGTGGTCTTCAGTGGTTTCGAGGATGTCTTGATGATGACGGCTCCTCCGAGGCGTAACCGCATAAACGTGGGGTTTCCAGGAGGTGATCGCAGGAGGTTTACAGTCCCAATCCTCTTCATAGAGGTTCCATAGATCTGCCGTCCCAGTTCACCATGCTGTGTACCCCTTCTTATCTTGCTCTCTTGCAGGACACACTGACCACTGGGACTGGGTCTGATCTGGTAGTAAAGTTCAACAACATTTCCTCTTTGATCACCTCTCTGCTCCCAGCTCGACCTGCTACCTCCAGTGTTAAACCACGCTGGCTCAGGCTTCAGGTGCACCAAGCAGAAGCCACCATCTGCCGAGATAGAGCAGCTGTCCCTGACCTCCCTGGATTCCCAGAATGCGTATGCCGTAACACAGAGGTACCCTCCTTCGTTCTGCCCTGGGATGTTTTGCATCAGCATCTCGCTCATATCATCCCTATTACTGGTTGCATAAAACAACACATATAGGGCAGGTGTAGACGGTCTTACTTGATGGGTCAATATAAACGGTCGGATCCTGGGGCCAGTGTGGATCATATGCAGTGGTATAGACTGCTCCAAAGACATGGGACCATAGCTGACATTGATGGCTGGCTGGCCATTGAGTCCAGTGAGGATGAAAGGTTGCCTTTGTGAACGCAGGCTGGAGTTGTCCATTACATCCTGACTGGTGTCTCTGAGGAGGAGGTAGTCTGCATTGATGATTTGATAGTTCACACTTGGAAGAACAACGAGAGGGGATAGGGATCTTGGGTCATCTGACAACTCCACAACCTTCATTCCTTGAGGATACAACGAATCAAATTAGATAAACATAACAGATTATCCATATGATATGAGAGATTATAAAGTATTAATGGTATTTTCCAGTAAATGTTGTACACATCACATATCCCTACTGACCCCCTATAGTGCGTTTTCAAATCATTTTCAAAGTGTTTTTCAGCTGGTTTTGTTTCAGGGACCCAATTTGACATCAAGTTGAGACCCAACACCAGTTCCACAACTGTTTATCATACAACACTGAATTTCAATGATTTTATGCTCTTGGCAGCCAAAAATGCCGTTTATCTTCACTGCATTTAAGGCCATGTATAAAGTAGTCTGGATTGTATGTTCTTATAACTTGAATAGTTTTCTTAATGGTTTTGGAGGATGAGGGCATATCACACAACCTACGTTGGCATGAGCCTATTTTAGATGAACTTGAATAAAAAAATCAGTTTAATTGCATACATCTTTTAGGCAAAACATACATATATGATATAATAAATGCACATCTATTTTGCTATCCTAAGTATGCATGATTAAAGGGTTAGTTGCATTTTAATATTTGCATTTTATTCTTGTCTCCAACTCCAATGCGTTTTTTGAATCACAGCCCACTTGTTGTAAATGACTGTTCTATAGGAATCTGTACTAATAAAACCTTTCATTCAAAAACACTGTAAAGGCAAAGTTACTTTCACAGAACATTATGTTTGGTAAATATGCTATCAAAAAAAATTTTTATGTTCTAGACAGCTATACCACTGCAGAGTTGTATTTCAGAGAAGTCATTTGCTAGATGGCATTCCTTCCTCATTCAAAGTCAGAGTAAAAAAAAAAAATAATAATAATGATTGGTCTAAACCTGTCAGCAAAAACCCATCATTCTGTTGTCATTTGAGCCTCTCCCCTATGTGCTTGTCTTTAATCTTTTCAGAAAACATTTCCATAGATGTCAAGTCCACAAAATGTTTTTGCTACTTCAATAACACAAAATACAACATTTCCCCTCTTGGTGCAGGATGATTTGGAATAAAGTAAATAGTCAACATCACTCTGATCAGGTCTACTGTGTCCGGACAAGCAGCTTGTCAAATCACTCATCTGGGAGAGATGCTTTAACCTTTACCTTCTGACAGGCTGCAAGGGCTACATTGCTTTCTGATTGCTAAAGTGCAGCATTGAAAAGCTGAAGGTTGATCTTGACATGCTGTGCGTTTTTGAAGGAGTTTGTCAAATGCTGGTCCATATGTCATACTGATACGTGATTGTGATTGCTATTCCTAAACATAAATCCTTCAAGTGAGGCAACAACAGCTAGAGAAAAATCTTGATTATATTTGATTATTTTTAAATATACGTTTTACTGAAATAATACACATGTTGTGTTTGCATTATATAGGGTATCCAACTATACTAGAGGCCAGGTTCGATGAAAAAAATGGATTCAGAGCTTTTTAATTGAATTTTTAATTGATCTGATTTTTCACACTCCATTTTCTTTTCATCTAAGCAGAGTTGAGTCAAACCCATCTGTCACAGGACAGATCATAGTCAAAGAGACCCCATTTTGTAGCCATCATTTCATCTTTTTCTAAAAGACAGAAAAGCCTCCACACTATATTAATAAAAATGTTATATAAGAAACTATAAAATATTTTATCTACATGCCAAAAAGTGCAAATTAAAATGTTCAGTGATAAAAATGACTAAAGGCTGACAAAGAGGTAACCAGAGAGAGCGATTCTGTTTTTGCACTTGTTAGCTTCTAAATAAAAGCTTTTGTAGGGTTTTTTAGCTTACAAGGTGGTTTTATCTGCTGCATTTGATCTTGCACACCTGATATGTTTACCTGGAAGAGTTTCTTAGTTTTATGCAGACACTGTAACAATTGAAGATGATCAACTTCCAATAAAAAAAGAGCATGTGTATATACGGTTAAGGCAGTGAGCAGAGTCCACAATGGGACATTTTAAGCATTATAAATCTAGTTCTTATAGAAGATCATTGGGAAGAAATAAAATTATATTATACAGAATTCCGTCCCTCACTTCTGTATGTTTTAAAATCTATCTTCATTTATGTTTTAGGTATACTATACAGTAGCATATCTAATTGACATAAAAGTCCAGTCAAAAAAGAAATACTCTTAAACGAATACTTTTTTATGTTTGAGCTTTAATTTCCAGTCTGTTACACAGGTTATCTCTGTCTATCAAGCTACAGAGCGCTAATCAATGTGATGATTTTGTCCTACTGGCATCTTGGTTAGTCAAAAAAACAATATATTTGCATCTCAGACTGGGAATCTCATGTGTGAAAATGATGTCTCAAAGTAGGTTAATGGCTGAGCCTGAGGGGGAAAATGGACTACTGTCTGTGTAGTGTCTAAGAACATTAGGCCAAACGTGACTGAGTTTGCACAGCTCAGATTAGCACTCAGACTCTGCACTGATGACAAGCCTATTTGTCAAACTCTCTCATTTCTAAATTGCTGCTTTTGGCATTACTAAACACTCCACAGCATATCATTTTCAAATTAGGAGCTTTCCAAGTAGGGTTTTATTCAGTGTGAATCAAGACAATTTGAGAAAAATCCTCTCCTCTCAGTTTCACTATTAAAAACCATTGCATAGACTTCAAATGGTCTGTGATAAAAGTTTTAATTCCATTTAATTAAGTAATAACTAAGCAGCTATTTGCATTCTGCAGGTAATTATATAAGCAAATTCTAATTAAATCTATTTACTTTTTATGCAAATCCATATTAATAGCCATATGAATCCAAAGAAACATTTATATTAATGATGCTCGCTTAAGTGCACTTACAAAAAGTTACTTCCAATAAAGTTCACAACTCAGGTTACAATTTAAATATGCAAATAACTGACATTAATGCAAACATATTCACAGGTCTTTCAGCTCATACACTCATACTGTAGATTATGAAATCATTAATGATAAATGAGAAGACAATGTGGCCAAGCAACTGCAGTGAAATCCATACCTGAATAATCTGATGCAAGATATTATATTAAATTATACAGAATTTATATGAAATTAAAAAGAAATGTCCAACAGTAGGAAATGACGGATATGAGAGGAATGTCTTACCTTCTGCACAGGATAGGCACAACGCTATAACCATCAGTAACATTGTGCTCGTTTGTAAAAACAAGTCCAAAACGTAGCGTAAATTACTTTATTTCTCTAATGCATTCCTAGAAAAATAACAGCAAAAAGCAGAAAAATAATAATAATATGAGCTTTAAAATAAATTTCCAAGAAAGGAAGTGAACATGCATGGTGCCCTCACATGACATGAAAAGTAAAAACTGTTGTCATGGTAGACAGCAAGCACAAACTCGATCACTTATGAGTCTGAAAAAAAAAATGCACGTAAATTTTAACACTAAGCGCTGTTCCGATTCAGGCGTTGCTGTTTCTGGACCTCACATTCATCTGAGTCTGAACGATTAGATGTCACAAGCATAATCCTCAGCAAATGAAATACATGCGCTTTATGTTGTCATGAAGCCTCTCAATCTCGCCTGTCACTGCTCTTCTGTCATATGGACAGACAACCAGCAATATCAGTGATATTAACTTAAAAGATGACACTTAAACGAGCGAGAGACGATTTTATTTCAAATAACAGTCTTTGCAATGCATAGGCTAACGTTACTTAATGGTAAACACGTGCAGGAATATGTAAAAAAATTGTCAATTGTAGCATTGTAATAATAGGGTTGCGTAACTGTACGTGTATAAGACAAAAAAAATTAAATCGTTTTTTATTACTTGACCTTTGTGTCCGTATAGTTCTTCAACTATAGTTGAAGTTGTGTTATGTAGCTTCCAAACACTTCAGAGGAGTGCTGAGGTGTAGCGCGCAAGCGTCCCCTGTTGACGGACAAACTTTCGTAACCAAAAACAAATTTGTCTGGAACTACACTTCAGCTGCACACAGAAAAACTGGACATTTACAAAAAAAGACAGGCCAGCGTGACATAAAAAGTTAAAATTTGCTTTGAGTTGTTCATCAAAATAAAGGATGTGTTCTTTTGCAAATTGTGGCGAGGCAATTCATACTTTTTACTCCAGTGAAAGTCAATTTATGTACACTGTGGACACATACCTTAAATCTTAACATTTCCATTGTTTTGCCCTGAGGTAAATTTACAGTTAACACTCGTTTGCAGTGACAGGGCATTTTACACACTACACGAGGGTAAGCAACAATGAAACAGCCTTGCCAATTCGTCACGTTTGTCGTGGCTTTCTCATTATTACTGTGACTTCAGGTTTTACAATGATGAGCTATTTTGGTTATTTTAAATATACTTGTCAATGTTGCCGAGTAATTATTATACACACACAAGTTAGACAACGCCAATAGACACGCCCTACCTTGATGTCACGTTCGCGCTCAATCAGGCCAAAGGGATCTTGACAGTAGGCTACACGAATATTTCGATGGAATCAATAACATGACAGATAATACATTAGCACCATTGTATAGATAGAACTGAAGACCCTTTTGAAAAAATAATTGTTTTTGACTCAAAACTATTAGTTAATCAGTTTTGAACATTTAAAATAGGCGAAGGCCTGTCAAATTTTTGTTTTTTTAATCCATTTTTTATACAGCTATTGCAGGATCTTGACAGTAGGCTACACGAATATTTCGATGGAATCAATAACATGACAGATAATACATTAGCACCATTGTATAGATAGAACTGAAGACCCTTTTGAAAAAATAATTGTTTTTGACTCAAAACTATTAGTTAATCAATTTTGAACATTTAAAATAGGCGAAGGCCTGTCAAATTTTTGTTTTTTTAATCCATTTTTTATACAGCTATTGCAACAGCTATAGGCCTACACATAATTTATGAGAGTTTTGAACTAGGTTTTTTAATCCAACATACATATGCTGTGAGTAGTCACTGGTATATAGCCTAGCCCTTGAGACAAAACTTATCAATGGCAACTATTTCTCATATAGCTTTAGTCACATATTAAAATATCTTTGGTAAAAGTCAATGCATCATTATGACATGTTAGGTTATATATTCCCCAAGAGATATACTTTAGCTTTTCACTTTATATTCAGAGTCAGTGTGAATTACTAAACTCTCTGTGATTTCTGACTAAAGCAGATCTCACTAAAGGGAGTGTCATCAATCTCCTGTCATTCAGCACACACAGTATGACCTGTACCTTTGATGCTCTGTAATGCTTGATGGCATCTTTTGCCAGTACGAAGCAGGATTTTATGTCCTGCTCTTTGATAGTGCCACAAATTCCTCTGCAAGGACACACACAGTACCAACCGTTAATGCAAAGAATAAATCAAAAGGCCACTCATGCCAAATGTTGTGTAAGAGCAAGGTGGTTGTAAAAGTTAGTACAAAGGTAAAAACTTATTCAAATGATATAATGCATTTCGGTTGTGAATCTCAAGATGCAGCTATGCATTTCATCTTAATCAAATCGGCTGCTAGCAGATCCCTCCAATTGCAATGCCTTTGCTGGAAACAAACATGAGTGCTTTTGAAAATGAATTTTCCCCCATGGCCCAGTTTACATACCATTATCATTTCAGTCCCATCTGCTCAGATGTCCAGATGTTAGCAGTGTGACAGACTATGGCCGTGAACTGTAATCCTCAAAGGTGAACAACAGCTTAGTAGCAATAATACGAAATGGTGGTCAGTAAACTGTCCCGTCAGTGAGTCTGACCCATTTTGACAACCTATTCCATTAAGAATTTTGTTTCACATGAGCACAGCACATCAGCTACACTACAATTTACTTGAGCTTTTCTTCTTGATGAGGATCATGTGATGATAGGTTGCCACAGTAACAAAGAATGACAGTAAACCTACTTAGAGAATGAAATATATCACGATGACCACATGTATCTCAAGCTCACCAACCACATGACTGACTCCATGCCGCTAAATGATTAGATCACCCTTTACACATAAATCAGAATCTGAGATGTCGCCACCAATATGCTGTATGATGAAGAAAACTTGCTCTTTTTATATTAATATTATTCACTATAGAACAATTCGGTAAAACTGTTACTCTGCCTATTTAAGAAAAAGCATGTTGCATGTTTGCAGCGTCAATGCTATGCTAACAAACTCACAATTATTAAAAATTCACCAAAGTTGGAGGGCAATGTCAAAGCTGAAGTCATAAAACAGCAAATGTATCACTTTTAGCAAACAAAGGCATAGGTGTCCGTCAATCTGAGCAGTGGGAACCCTTTGGAAAAGTAGTAAGGGAGAGTTTGGGAGCCTCATTCAAAGCCTTTGAGACATTGATCTATGGATAAAGTTGAGCAGAGGCGCTCTCGCTCAGTGTGAGCTGAATTTCTATGCAGGTGATGAATGAATGTGCTCTGCAGTGCGTGTCGTGGATGTATATCACTCTGCTCCCTACATGATGGAGAGATAAGTTACTGCTAACCTGCAATGTCGTTCTACACCTTCCCTCAGGAAGCGGAGGGGTCGTGTGCTCGGTTCGCTTCAATTACTATAAATTTGCTGAAAGTTATTTTAGTTTTGTAAAAGGTCAACCTTGCAAATACCTGCTCAGATCTTAGGTGGAACGAGGGAGAAGTCTTCCTTTAAAGTGGAGCTGAAAGCCTATGATTGCAGCGAGTGGTGGACATTAACTGCAGACGAAGCCTCAAGCAATGCTTCAGTGTGCCAGTATTCAGTATTACTAGGGAGTCTCAGCATGGACACTGAGGTTCATTTAAGGAGACTCTCCCATCTCAGTCAAAACATATTCATGAAGACAATGACAAATGTGTGCCATTGTGTCCAACCCTGACCCATCCGATGAGTTACCTGCTATTGAACACACCTCTGTCATTCAGGGGTCAGTAAGACACTGCTCTCTGAAAAGGAGCTGCTTTAGAGCCTCTGAAATATTCACGAAAAGCAGCAGGAAGATGAATGGGCGCCCGTGTCCCCGCTCAGGGCCCTTGTTAAAAGAAGGCGTTGATCGAGAGGTCAAAGCTGGAGAGAATTTTAAACATCCATTGGCCCAGGGCCCCCCGGGATCATTACGGCTCACTCCTGAATGGAAGGAGAGCCGAGCCAAGAGCAAGAGAAGCCTAGCGCTGTGATATACGAGCATAATCATTTCTCGCTCTCCTCCTTTTTTTTCTCTAGGCAGGGCTGGCCCACACTTCATCCTCTTGCATTTCGGTACAACCTATTCCACTGAAACCTCTGCAGCAGGCTCAAGCACTTCCTTTCCTCTCAGCGGCCTTTTTAAAGGGAAACTTCACCCAGAAATTAGAGTTCTGTCATTATTTTTTCACCCTCACCCTCATGTTTCCAAACCTCAAAGTGGTTATTTTTCAATGGAACACAAAGGGTAGAAATTTTTTAATAATTGTTATGCAGCTCTTACCATATAACAACAGTTCAATTCACCAAAAAAATAAGTATATATTTTTTTAAAGTAAAATTAAAAAAAAGGCAGAATTTTAGCCATTATTCATGAAAATGTTAACCTTCAGAAAGGTCAGCTCTTGCCTATGTTCAGAATTTAAAAATTGCACTTCTTATTTGGTTACTTCACATGCAAGATTCAAGATTCAATTTATATTATTTATATAATTTAAGTTTATTTTTCAATTTTGGTTACACAAAGTCATTATATGATTTCAGAAGACAAGTCAAATGGACTGTACTTTTACAGTGTTTTTATTTTATTTTATTTATTTATTTTTGCCATTTTGAAGCTTGACAGCATAATTATAATCTTAGAATGTGCTGCTCTATTCTTTTTTCAAGTAGATCATTATAAGACACAGCAGTCACAATATCTACAAATAATCACCTATTCTACTGCCCAGTGGGAACCCATCATTAAATGTGATAAATGCAGCTCTTGGAACATGCTGACAGAGTTGAGAAAAGTGCACCCTTCATCCACAACACAGCAATATTAATTCACTCACCTTACCCATGATGCCTGAAGTGAGAAGTACTGAGATACTGAGGTCACTGCTGCCATCTACTGGGTTGTTGCTATATTCACTGTGGTGTTTGCTGTTGAGAGACATGCTATGTGATTTGCCATGAAAATTTCAATGAAAAATATCACATTTATTTTCATAGAAAATTTATATTTTACACAGCTCTACACATGCACAGTCACACAATAGTCCATATCAGTAAATATAGACCAACAAGTTCTTTTTTCTTTTTAATTCACAGAGCAAGCACAGAATTGCTGACTTGAGCATATTTTCTTGAAGACACCATGGAGAACACTTACACTGTTGAATATTAAATCTTAAAGCACTAAAAAAGTCTGAAAATCTGTAAATTAAGTATAAACATTTATAAATTATCTACAAATGGAGTACAAAAGAGTAACCAAGTAATGAACACTTATAACGTCCAGTCACAAACGAACACTCGGGATTCATGATAATAGAGATAGAGATTTCTTTTAAATCAAAATATATGTAATCTCTTTTATTTATTTTTCTTTTGGCAAAATGATGTTGCAAGCTATACAGGCAGCTGAACATTTCATACATTCCTTTTTGGCTATCCAACCTTTTTTTTATTAGAACCTTCCATGTTTTTCTTCTACAAGAAATAAACTCCATTCACCCTAAATGAATGGTATATATTTTTTCATTAAAACGCTTAAATATATAATACTTTTAAGATCATCTTTTTTAAAGATAAAAAAAAAAGTCAAACACACACAGTATTTACCCTGGATCAGACCGTTCAACAGTGTAATCTCAATCCAACTGGCCATATTATTGTAAGATGCCACCAGATGCTGGCCCAACCTTGCATTTCCAGTTGCGGGGGCAAGATTTTTTGTGTTTAATGCAAGAGATTTTGCCCTTAATGTAAACTACTTGATTATAGCTTGAGACAACTGAGCTATCATAGGTAATTTTGCCTGAGGGTATTACTTAACCTGTATTTTGGTAGCTGAGACTATGTATAATAAGGTCCTCAGTAAACAGACTATCACAAGGAGTTTGATTCTACCATAGCAAGCAAAGACTCAGGAAAAACAGCCTATGATAACAGCAGCAAGGATATGTCATTTAGGCCTATAAATGATGTTCTCATAACCAGCCATGACCCATTTGTTTAAACCAGTGTCAAAAGGGTTGTTCACCCAAAAATGAAAGTTCCACCCTCATGTTGTTCTAACATGTATGACAGGACTTTCTTCTGTGAAACATAAAAGAAGATAGGCCTATTTTGAAGAATGTTGGCATCTGAACAGTTTTCCATTGTATGGCCCAAGGAGAGAGAGTGAGAGAGAGTGAGATTTAGGTAGCCTAAATAATGACAGAATTTTCATTTTTGGGTGAAAATCCATTCACACAGAACACATTCTTGCGTTTAAAATGGAACGGTAAAGAATGTAGTGTTTCTATTCATGTAGTTAAACTACTTTTAACCTAACGTCACTTTTTAAAAACAAACGAGAACATTGAGAAAATATGTCGCATGTTTACATAGAAAAACCATAAAAACCTATCGCAAAAATGCATTCTGTGTAAACCGGCCCATAGAAAGTGAAATTTGAGGAGACACCAAGACACCATCTTTGCTTAAATATTTCTTCTTATGAAGACCACACCACCCTTATAGACTTTAGAAAGGAACAGGAAACAACTTGTAATTAGCAGCACGTCACATTATCACAAAAGTTTATAACAACATTTGACCCTTTTCAGTTTGAAGGGGTTGCACGAACATGGATGCAGAGGGGGGAGAGACACACCCACACACACACACGAGCCATTCACCAAAACACACACCGATTGTGCATTGAAAAGCAAACACAGAAACTTTCCATTGTATTTTTATAACTTCAGAGTCATTCTCGTGACAGACACTGGAAAGGGAGATCTTAGAGCAAGCAAAAGGGAGGGTACTTGGCAAAGACTGATGTATGGAGACATCAGATGTAGGTAATATACTGTACTTACTGAGTTTAGATGAAGGCCACAGCAATGTTTAAAAGGATTTGCTCATAGACTGTCCTAGTCAGTTATGCCATTTTGCACCTTGCCCATCTTTCTATGGAAATATGTTTTTTTGATTGTGGTCCGTTTTTGTGTTTCGGACTAATGCACTTAATATGGTCTGGAGGTTTATTTCAGTTTTTACATTTGACTGACAATGTCAGACCATATTTGAAGTGCTCACTGGACTGTTTTTATCACCAAGTGCTATACCAAACTTTAAAATCTATGAGATTGAATATTTCATTCAAAATCCAGCACTTTGACTTGAAATATGGAAATTATAATAAAAGGAATTCCTTAAATATTAATAATGTCTCTTTGTCCTCTACCTCACAGCATGAATAGATGCTTTCATTCTGAAAGCCAGTTAGCAAGCTCACTGTCTATATATGTCATTCCTTTTCATCTGGATATTAGATCTATTTCATGATATGTACGTGGCATGTTAATGTGAAAGCTGTTTAGATTTATTTTTTTGTGACAAAAAAAATCACCGAAGACTTTTCCAAAACGATGGGGATTGGCAGTCTCTCTTTTGACAGAGAAATCTGTATGCTGTTGTAGCCATATGAATTTGAAATCAAACTCATACTTTTACTTTGAGAACTTTTTGAGCAGTTTCTTCCCCTTAGAGAGCAGTCCTTTTTTATTTTTAGATGCCAGGTCTCTTGGACCCCTGGCAGGGCTCAGTGGCCTGACTGGGCCAACAGGAAGCATAGGACGCACAGTGGGAGAGGCGGGTCTTCCAGGGGCCGGAGCTGGCACTGTACTTTCCACAGGCACCTAATAAAACATCCACGGGGAAGGGAAAATTGTGGGATATTATACAACAAGATTGTCTTTTGCCTTATTATCTGCCTTCCTCACACATAACAGTCCAGCTTATGTTCTGAAGTTTAAAACAAATGATCTCAGACTAGAAGTGTGCCAAGAAAGTTAGAGCAAAAATTATATTACTACTCACAGATTGGAACTCTAGAGAAAAGGCAGATAATATGGTTGGTTCCTGAATTAACTCAACTGTTTTATTAAATTTCCTCTTGCCTGCTAATACAGATAAGAAAAGTGAAAATATTCCTTGTTAGAAACCTCAAAGGGTGAGGGGATTTTATATTGTAAAACAGCATCTAAACAGACAGACCTAACAGCACAAGGACTCCACACAGTATGGGAACCAACTGCAGATACCATACAAGTCTAATGCATTGGCATATTAAGCAGAAAAGTGTTTTTGAAAATAGAAAATGAAAATAAATTTGATAAACATTTGAATGAATAAACAATAATAAAGAAATAGTTCAACCAAAAATGAAAATTTGCTCACTATCAGGCTATTCAAGACGAGTTTGTTCCTTCATCAGAACAGATATGGCCAAAGAGTCCATAATCCATAATAATGCTTCCTCCAGTGAAAAAGTCCATCCCCTGTTGTCCTCTCACATCCACAGAAATATTTGTTTAGAAGATTTTCTAAACTTGGACTTGAATTTGGACTGTTTTTGCTTGTAAATGGTGCTTGATCTCTGCATATTTAACTCCTGATTCAGACGAGATTACTTTTTTACTAAAGAAAGCAGTATAATGGATAGGAATGCTGAAAGGTATGGTTTGGCATTAAAAATGTCTTGATGGATTTGTTCATTACAAATACACAATTTTTTGCTTCACAAGACGTTAATTCATAGAATGGAGTCGTGTGAATTACTTGTGTATTATGTTTTTATCAGCTGTTTGGACTCTCATTCTGACGGCACCCATTCACTTCAGAGGATCCATTGGTGAGCAAGTGATGTACAGTAATGCAAATTTTCTCCAAATCTGTTACAATGAAGAAACAAATTCTTCTACATCTTGGATGGCTGGAGGGTGAGTAAATACATTTTCAGCAAATTTTCATTTAGGGCTGAAGTATTCCTTTAAGCAGATAAATCTAAAACAAAATTTATCTTTAGACGACAACAGATCATTCATATTCAACTAATGCAACATATAAAGGAAGTATAGTAGGAAATCCCAATTATATAATTTAGCCATAAAAATGCATTAAAAATCTGCATAAAGGGTGTGCATAAAATCCCATGCATGAGACTGATCACTGGTATCGCCAGTTGCTCAACTTACCTAGCAAGACAAAAGTCTGCTAGGATGGGAAATGGACAATATTTCTCAGCTTTTTTTCTTTTTTGGCAAAGCCGGTGGGAAAAAAAAAGGAAATTAGAATGCAGCGACATCATCAAAAAAACATCAATTATGAGGAGAAAAAAACAACAACACCACATACACAAAAACAAACATAGGTCTTCACTAAATGTCCACTAGCAAAAATACATATTTGTTTCAGTTTTTCATTTATTTTGATTTATTGTAATAACATCATGAATGTTATTATTTTAGTCTCTCTGAAAGAGATGGGATGAGTAATATGTTCTGCTAGTTCATATGATCTGAAAAATAGAGTTTTTTGACAATGTGCAATATACAAAAAGAAACAAAGCCTCCTCAAAGAAATACAACATTTGGGGTACTGTAGTTTACTTTTATATAAAAGCTACAGGTCTGTTCTGGAAAAAACAGGCATGCGTCAACTACGTGAGTTTCCAAATCAGTCTTTTAACAGGGTCACAAATCACGAGCCACGGACCCTATGGACTTCACAAGCTTCAGTTAAGTAGGGTTTTGTGATTCAGTGCAAAAATGCTTTATACTTTATTCATAGTCCGGTGCAGGAACGGAATTTGGCCTTTTCCACAGTCCTCTGGCGACCCTCTACGAACATTCGCTTTCTTAATAGAGTCACGTTCGTACCTGTCTCTTTGCAGTGGGCTTTGCTTCTCCCTTTCCTAGAGCAAGAAAGGTTGGACTGGAAATCACCACCACGGTCACATAACGAAAAAACAAACAAGCACAAGAAAACACAGAGACGGCGAGTGGACCGAAACTCAAACGGAGGATGAATGGACACAGGGCCTAGCGCTGAGAACGGCGATGGTGTACCCGTTTGGTTTCTGGGCGTGGTGCCAGCACTGGATTGGGCTCGTCCTGGCCATGGTGGGAGGGAGTATCTGTCAGATAGACCTCCACATCATCAGGCACTTCTTCGAGAAAATTGGATGGAACCAAGCCCCGATGTCCATTAAGCTCACCCTGAAAGACAAAAAACAAAACACAATAGTGCTGCAGGCTCAGAATAAAGCAGCGTGAGCAGTCAGCATAACAATGATACTTACATAATAGAAGCCGTCTTCATCTATATCCCCAAAAACAGCAATGATATCGCCAGCACAGAATGTCAGTTCAGCCTGCCACAGAAAGCACACGATCAGCAACTATACGGACATGCACATTCAGCAGACGGAGAACCCGAGAGTGCATAAATACATATATGAAAGTGTATTTAACACCTCAACATCCACGTTTGGGGAGCTCTCTCTGGGGTCATAGTCGTACAGGGCAACCATTCTTCTTGTGGCCACTGGGTGGCGACCTCTCCTATTTTGTTCTGTTGGGGAGAGAGAGTCCATTTTTCTGTGAGAGAGGCAGGCTATGTTCAAAACAATATTTGACTTGTTAGCATGGTGTAGTAGATAGTTGCTGCTGGTAAAAAGGTAGCCATGCATTCTATGTATTCTAACAAAGTAAAAAAACAACATCTTTTGAAAGCAACACATAAATCAGAAATATTTCGTTTATACCACCATTACATCTCACAGTTGGGGTCAGTAAGATTTTCTTTTTTTAAATAAATGAAAAGTTTGTAGGCTCATTCACACCAAGGATGATAACTATAACATTTTAATAATCTAACTGTAAAAGAAGGCCAGATAGCTATAATTATAATGACACAGACGTTGGAATCACTTTCATAGCAATATTTTTCCAGCTCATAAAGATAAAAACATTGGCAAACAAAGTTTGCAAATCTTCATTTTTTTGTCATTATAGTACATTTAGACAACTGTGACATGGAAAACACCTACCTATTCTGTCTACAGGAGTGTTGAGAGGGAGAAATCCCTGTTTCATGAGCTGCTCCATGGTTTCATCATCCTCAGCACGGATTTCCGACACCATGTTACAGGGAATAAGTCCACACCTGCCCCGGATCTCCCCACGATAAAAGCCATCGTTATCCTTATCCCCATACACCTTAAACACACAGACAGAGGGATGCTGAAACAATGGGAGGGTCATTTAACAACAGATCATTAACTCCAGCTGAGCGGCACCTTGATAATATGTCCCTCTTTAAACGGGAGCTCCTCGTCAGCTGCATCAGGGTTAGGGGACATGGAGAGAGGGTCATAGTCGAAGAGCGCCACAAAGATTCGAAACGGATCCTCCTGCTCAGACTCATCATAGTATGGGGGAGAGCGGCGGCTTTGGTCCCGGTATCCATCTAAAATGAGAAAGATGGGTAAAAACCAAGATGTCTAATAGACATGTTACCCCTTACATGGATTGCCAAGCCCTGCAGTGTAATATTTTTACATAATTATTGTATATTTACTCTAAATGCTACTTCTATTAACTGAGGGATAACATGTATATATATATATATATTATAGTATATATATATAATATATATATATATTAGTTTGAGGTTGGCAGGATTTTTGAAAGAAGTCTCTCTCACCAAGGCTGCATTTATTTGATCAAAAACAGTCAAATTGCTTAAAATTATTAGAATTGAAACTGTTTTCAATTGTATTATATATTTTAAAATGTAATTTATTCCTCTGATGCAAAGCTGAATTTTCAGCAGCCATTACTTCAGTTTTCAATGTCACATGATGCTTTAGAAATCATGCTGATTTGGTGTTCAAGAAACAATTCTTACCAATGTTGAAAATAGTTCTGTTGCTTAATATTTTTGTGAAAACTGTGATAACATTTATTTTTCAGGATTCTTTGGAAATAAATAGGAAGTTCAAAAGAACAGTGTTTATTTGAAATATAAATTTTTAGTAACAAACATCTTTACTGTCACTTTTGATCAATTTAATGCATCCTTGCTAAACAAAAGTATACATTTCTTTCTTTCAAAAAAATATATTGATGTTATTTAGATGTTGTCAACTACGCAAATATGGCCGTCCAATTGTCCTGGTATACAAAACAATATACAATATGCATGTCTTTAAGGTACAAGCATTCAAAACTTTTTAAAGATGGGCATACAAACAACCAGAGGATTTACTAAAGCAAGTAATTAACAGCATACATGTTATCATCTCTGTATATTACAACAGACAATATGAATAAGCATGCAATTCATTCCAATGAAGTGAAATTCCTCTCCATACTTGCACAATCCACTTATTTGCCAAACACATCTTAGGTGGGTTGAAGAAAACATACATTTCTTACAGTAATATGATGGTTATGATGTGTGTCACTGTTTGTGTTTGCCAGTGTGTGTGGGTGTGTGGTGATTGGGAGTGAAACACCCATATGGCAGCCAGTTACAGATGAGCAGCAAGCCAAACATGAAGCTCCTGACAGGCGCACACACAGACACAGAGAGAGAGAGAAAAAGAGGGGGAGCACACGCAGTCTGAGCTAGTGTAACCATGCAGAGATCTGGATCTGAGAAAGACCCATCAGATGGGGCACATTAGCCCCGGATAAAACTACACCCGTTTCCTTTTGTCCCTGCCACATCTACGAAGCTGTGCTCAATTGTGACTCCAACATGCCCAATGTGCATTCCACACAGTTGCCTTTGCAGTCAATGCCAAGGAACCGTTTGCGTTCTCTTCCTGGTCAACCATTACCTACATACATATTCGGAGGCATTCGTTCGGTGTGAGATGCCGCCCTTTAACTTTAACCATTCAGTCATGCATGGCCAAAGTAAAAGTATGTTTGTGGTCAGGTTGAAAGAGAGGAGGGGTTTGGCAGGCATCCATCGGTGGGGCAGTGCAAAGGGGGAGGAGCATTCTCTGTGCAAACATGTCACTATTGGCTATCTTACAGCACCACTTCCAACACAAACTTCCATCTCGGTGCAGTCCAGTGCAGTTTCATGCGTTTGGCCATTTTCTTTCTCCTCGGACCTCACTCTAAATGCACGTACCATAAGGAGGCCTGCGTCCCCCGTGCCTTCGGGAGGACCATGTCCTGTGTCGCGCTACACTGCCATAGTAAACATCCTCCTTGACGGGAGAGAGGTTCCCTTCACTGTTACTCTCAGTGGTTATCTCTGAGGGAAACACCAATCAGAGAGTCGTTATACCATGCGAAGGCTGTTCTGCGTCAACCTGCCCAGGCTGGAGACGCCTAACTACTCTGGCATCTCTATTTTCAATCATTTAAAGATTCAGAGAGGGTTATAATGATTGAAAGCAACAGGATAGGGTTATGGTTGGAACATACAGTGGTGGTCTGGCACACATTGACAAGCTTATGAACAGTTCAAACAGAGAAAATGTGGAGCAGGAGGACAGACAGGCCCTGAACGCAAGTCTCAGACTCCTGTCTCTTACTGGGAGAGCACTGACCAATGGATGGGACCGTGAGGGGTCGTCGCTGAGGTTGAGGTTCTCGGTGAGATGGCTTCCGGTATGATTCCCGATCCAGCTGACTCGAAGATGGAGTGCTGGCTCCGGTCTTGAATCGGGAAGAAACCAAACTAGTTAAAGCCATGCAAATCAAGATGTCACTGGGGTATTGTGAGAGGTCTTTCCCTTTTTGAAATACCTTGGGTGCATTGTGGGAGTTTCGTCGCCTGCCTTCTTCATGCTGCATTTCAGAATACAACTCCTCCTCGTCCTCTTCCATGATGTCTGAGAGGTCCGAACCTCGACTGCTCTCTGTATGATACTCTTCGCTGTGACTGTAATGAGACTGTGAAATGCAGATTGTGAGAGAAAACAAATACACAAGCTAATACAACAAACCTAAGCATTCAACGCTGACATTTGCCTCTTATGCCTGTTGTTATATGGTAAGGCAATCACTTCAACTGCCATACCTGCCTGCCCAGCTCTGAGCCCCTGAGGAAGTCATCCATAGATGCTCCTCTTCTGCGGGCCTGATAGCTTTCCTCATCCTCTTCCTCATCTGAATTTTGAGAGTGAAAGCCCTGGCTTCTCCTCTGGATCTAAATATATTAAAGTACTTTCAGAAGTCTTAATAAAGAGATCTGACAGGTATGCTGAGGTTAAGTACTGACAAGATAGCTAATCTTCTGTATGTATGTTTATTAACTCATTTGTTCTCATTTGCACATATTAACCCTAGAATGCATAAGGGTCAAAACTGGCCCTTTAGGCTGTTAATATTTGAATATATTTTGAATAAAATTATTTAATTTATATTTTATGTATTTCTCATAAATGTTGTATGTAAGCCTCAGCAAAAATGTTGCATATTTGTTATTAATAGTTAAAAAAAAACCTACCCCAAGTCTTTGAAAAGGGGGTCAAAATGACATTTATGCATTTCCTATGGAATTCTAATTCACAATAATAATAATAATAATAATAATGCTAAAGTTTTTTTCTGTTCACAAGATTATCTAAAAATAAAATATTTATAGATTTATTTATAGATTTGTTAAATAATCTATATGTTAGATTTAATTACTTTTTATTTTAGTAATTTTTAATTTTAAATTTTAGTAATTTTAGTTTTATTGTATACATAAATGGAAAAGAAGAAATGAACATTACTGAAACATTTAAATGTATGTAATCAACTTAATAATACTATAAGTATATAATCATAAAAAAAAATTCATTACGCTTAATAGGATAGTTCACCCAAAATATGAAAATTTTCATAATTTAATCACCCTCATGTAGTTCCAAATCCATAAAACTTCAGTTACTCTTCTTAAAAAAAAAAAAATTAAGAGAGTTTTCTGTCCCTCCATTGAAAGTCCAGGTAACCAAAACTTAAAATATCCAAAAAGGTCAAAAAGGTGTTGTAAAATGAATCCATATGAATTGAGTGCATTAATACAAGTCTTGTGAAGAGATATGATTGCTTTATATTATGAATTTTCTTTTTTGTGTGAACTATCCTTTTAAAGTTAAAAAATAATAAATAAATGTAATAAAAATATAAATACATTAATTAATATATAAAGATGATAAAAATGTAAATAAAAACAAGAAGAAAAAGAATATATATATATAGATATATATATATATATATATATAAACACTGACTTCGATATGGGTCGTTTTGACCTCCAAGTTTTTGGATCATGCATTCTAGGGTTAAGGTTGGTTTGCAACTACTTTATTTAATGCTTTTTGCTGACTTGACTCACCCGTCCACTCTCTGCAGCCACTCTTTGGGCTGCCTCTCGGGCAATAGCCTTGGCTACAGTGTCAGGAATGAGCGTACCCCTGGGCTGGGGGAGGATCCTTTGAGGTGATGGGGAACGGCGGTTTGGGCAGGCCGGGGCATCCAGGGTGTGTCCGTGTGGCAAGCCTGTAGGCAGGCCAGATGGGGAGCAGCCAGGCTCCCATGGCTGAGGTGGGCCCCCTCCATGATGAAGCATTCCTGGCCCTTGCTCTTTGGTTTCCAGCTCTCTGGCACTTAGTGGTCTTTGGGATTGGGGAAGGGGCAGTTGGGGAATGTGAGGCTGGGGCATCGGGATAGTGGGCTGGGGTTGGAGCATGGGGATGGCTGGCTGGGGTTGGAGCATGGCCATGGCCATGGGCTGTTGGGGTTGAGGCATAGGCATGGGAGGCTGGGGTTGGGGTTGGGGCATTGGCATGGACGACTGAGGCTGAGGCATTGGAATGGGGTGTGGTGGTAAAGGCTGGAGGTGGGGTGGAGAGGGCTGTGTGTGATGGGGCATACGGTGGGGATGGAGATGAGATGGGGGCTGGTTGGGGTGAACGGGAAGGGGTTGGAGATGGGTGGGTGGTTGGGGTCCAGGGTGAGGGGGAAGGGTCCGGATTTGGGGATGAGGAGGCATTGGTTGGGACTGCTGGGGCATGTGGTGAGAAGGAGGGAGGGTTTTAGGAAGAGGCACCAGCAGGTGGTTTGGAATGACGGCGGCATGGGAGTCTTGAGATTCTCCTTGTGCTGATAAAGTCCTGACAATAACCTCATGAGCCTCCAAGCACTGGAGACGGTTCAGTTCGACTGCCACATAGTCTGCCAGTGGATACATCACCTCAGCGATCTGAAACAGCATTAGTATTAGCATTAAGATGCCGTACGAGTAGCAAATGATTAAGTAGCAGCATTGGTTACTTGGGGGAATAGGGATTTCGCCTAGGGCGTCAAATTGGCTAGAAACGGCCCTGCCGTCACATTTACCGTTATTCAGTGAATTTTTGCAGGCGAAATTCAGAAATTTCAATGGGAAACAATATATAATGGATCTTTTTTTGCGACTGCATGTGACCGCACCTTTAGAATCAATGTTCTCCTCATTAATCATCCAAATAACATAAACAACAAAAAGATCTTTAGTGTGAAAATCTTCCATCACCTAAAACCACCAGAAACATTGAATTCAAGTGTTTAGAATCACCCAACTCCACCAACAGAGGGCATCAGTATCACTTTTTGATAAAAATAGGTCTTGATGACTCTTGTTTAGTCTTCATGCAGTCAAGAACTGTTCTGTCACATAAACATCACCACATATGACTGCTGATGCATGGGCATCCTTACCCTCTGACCCTTTGTGCACACTGCATAGCCAATGACATTTGCACCATTGGAGGTTCCCATGGTTGTCATTGGAGGGGGCTTCCAACGGACTTGGAGGACCCCTGGGGCGTGTCCACACTGGACCTGGACTTCTTGAGGAGGTAGAGGGGGTCCTGGGGAGGGACAGATAGCCACCAATTAGTTACACTAACACACCTGATATTCAATACATGATGTTTAGAAAGGATTGTTGTCCACTGGATTCATTTGCTTGAACTCATGAGGGCATACATTACTTCCAAGAGTCTGAGTATTTCAGCTAATTAATTAATCCAATTAGCCTCTCTAAACCCATTTCTGTTGCCTTTGACTATTTTAAGTGGAGTGTTGTGCTAATCAGAATAACAAAAATAGCCGTTTTCTGTCTTTTTTTAAATTCTTAATCTCAGAGGAGATTGTGTGTGCTGTTAGGGTCCGATGTGTGTGTCAGTCTTAGTGGGTAAAAACACTGATTTTCTGATTAATTTAGATTTGAACAATCATGACATTGATTCTTATAATCCCAAAATAATCTTCAGTGGCTGTGGGAAAATCTGTTTGTTCAGCATTTCCTGTCACTGCATTCTGCTAAACTAACACAACTGTACAGTTTAGGCACTATACTTAACTTTTACAATCTATATTTTTATAATGTACCAAGTACATTACTAACCCTTTATCAGTGTTACCAGCAATGCTGCTCCCCTGCTGCTGATTTTACCTTAGCTCTGAATGTGTTTTCACAGTCTGTACTGAATGTGATGCAATAAAAAGACTGTATACTGCGACTTCTTTTGAGGTACACTCACAGGCTCTAAAAACAAGCATTCAGCGCAACTACTGCAGTCCAATTCATAAACAAGTTACTCTGTTATTTTATGTGAATCAGAAACATACAAAGCAGCAGTATAGTTTGATTCACAAACAAACAACTATAATAAACTTGTTCTTTTAAGTGAATCCAAAAAATACAGTGAACCGGTGTAGTTTGATTCACAAACATTTGACTATTAGAAAATGGATACTTTAAATGAATCAAACACATCAGCGCAACAGTGTAGTTTGAGTCGGTTCATTAAATGAATAATTAAAAAAAAAACAGCATTATCAGAGAGACACCTTATAAATGAAATACAGAGTAATGAATCAGAACTGAATCAAATGGAGTCAAATCATTTAAAAATGGTGCGATATCTTAACAATTTTAGAGTTGAACTTCACCTGCAGCTTGGGTGCAGAACTCCACCCCAGTCTCTCTCTTCTCTCTCTGTTCCAGGGGCATGTGCCAGGGCACCTGGTGAGGTTTGGCCAACACTTTTACCTTGTACACTGTGGCGGCCTTCAGGTTCACAAAACGCAGTTTGTAAGAGCACGGCCTCACCACAGCATGCTCCACACCATCTAAGTACACAACATGGCCGTAGTTACTATTACTGGGAAGCCAAGAAAGTTCGGCGGAGTCACGTAAAATATCGTCCATGCGCAAGCCGGTGGGTGCCACCACAACATTGCGGCCCACCAGCAAGGTGCAGCGCAACACATCGGAGAGCCCCCTGTCCGTCACGCTCTGTACTGACACGCGGTATGTGCAGGAAGCCAGGTCCAGCTTCTCGAGAAGCAGTTTGGTCCTGCTTCCAAATGGCACAGAGGAACGTACTTCCCCGTCCACTAAGATATTGTAGCCATTTATGTTGCCCCAGCCAAGGGGCACTAGAGGTGCTTCCCAGGCCACTATCACACTTCTTGCCAGCTGTTTGATCAGGTTGATCTTCCTGGGGTAAGGCACGATGTCATCACCCAGCTCCTCTCCATCCAGTGCACCTGTCCCATTGGTGCAGTGGCCGAGGGCGTCGCTCCTAAGGCTGTCCAGATGAGCACCTCCATCTATGGTCATCAGGCTCAGACAGCTCTGCTCCAGCCTGCCCTGCTCCTCTCCACCCTCGATAGATGGCTTTTCCTTGTCCTGGACAAACTCCACAAAATTTGAGGGAACCAGGCCACGCTGGCCATCCAACAGCTCTCCTAAAACAAAGAGAAATAGAAAGATCTCATAAGCTGCAGCAGATCTCATTACATAAAATGCAATTGTGATGCATTTTGTAAGCATGTCATTTTAATACATGCTGCCAGGTGATGCTAACTGATTAAATTCACTGTTACTTGTCTACGTCAATTATTTATGTCCATTAGTAAATAGGTTGTTTGGATTTTTTTAGATTTTGGGCAATTGGAGATCTGTTCTTTTTTTAATTTAGATTCTTAATTCTCTAATAATAATTACACCTCTCGTATCATAACTCAATTACCTTCATAAAATCCATCATCGTCCATGTCCCCATATACGTACAAATACTTCCCTGCCACAAGAGGAAGCTCTGCTTCTGGATGCTCATTAGGTCCATCATAGGGATTATAACTGACCGAAAGACCAGACAGCGAGAGGAAAAGAAAAAAAAAGGAGTGAAATACAAACACACACACACACACCTCCTGAGTAAAATACAGTCAGATAAACAGATACTGTTATCTGCTCGTGGCAACCAGTTAACTGAATGATCACATTGCAGCTGTGATGTATGACAAACCTCTGAGAGGGATGCTTGCATGGGGCTACTGGAGCGACTCTGGGTTTGAACGGTGGGTTTGACCGACAGCTGCTCTGGCTTGTCTCTCTTGTGTTGCTGTACTATGGGCAGTTCTGAGACCAGTGGAGATCTGTCAGATCTCTCATCACCTGCAAGCATGAGTTATAATGGAAATCAATGGCTTTGATCACTGAACAATAGGATGGATCTGAACAAATGGATCTAAATAAGGCTGTGGAAAAAATAACATTAGGCAGATGAGAAGGCAATTAAATGAAACAGATTTATTTAATATCAAAGGAATCAAAGTGATGTGTTAAAACGGATATTTTACTTATTTACACATGCATTACTTATAATTATAAAAATATGAACACATCTGTAATTTTAAAAATTACATATTTGTAATTGAAAAAAATGCAAATAAAACACACAGATCTCAGCATACACAACAGGTTTAACTAGAGGCTAATGGTGCTGGGGTTGGAAGTATCAAATGTTTTAATCATTCGATAATTTCATCATTTAAAAAAATCAATAATAAATATTCACCTCCCAAAAGTTTTTCTGATAATAATAATAATAATAATAATAATAATAATGATTATTAGTAGTAGTATTATTCTTTTAGTATTTAAGAATAGAATGTAGAATGCAATAATTCAAAAGCCAATGGAAAAATCCTATTGAGTTTTTGTAGAGGGAACCAGGGTGATTCTAACTTCTATGCTGACGTACAAAAAAATGCATCATTTTTGCAGCTCTCTATTTACTGAAAAAATATTATGCATTCTGAATGTTCCCCCATACCAAAAGCCCTATAATTTTACCATGGTACACTGTATGAGATAAACGCAATGTGCTGCATGAAAAGCAAAAAAACAAAACAAAAAAAATAAACAAAATTTTGTATTTAAATTAGATGCATTTAAAGGAAGGTCAGAAATTCTAGAAAGGTGTTATCAAAACTGCTCACAACATTCTGAAATGTCTGTGGTTCATGTGGGAGAAAATACACCTCCAACTGTTTGAAAAATGCTTCACTCACTTTTTTCAGCCTCGCGCTGCAGGCTGTTGTAACTGTTTTTCTCCTGTGAGTCAGTGTTCAGTGTCTCCTCCGCGTCTGACCCCAAGTGATATCTCTCCAGCTCTTTCGACAAAATATTGCACTGCTCACTCTGTGTCCGGCATTTCTGCTCTAAGTCATGAACCTTGACCTTTGAGAGTCAGGGTAAAGAATATACAAGAAAGAAATACACAAATGAGGAAATCAAATCATTTATATCATACATAGGAATAAACACACAGAAGAAATATACTGAGCTGTAGCAGTAGTTCTCAAATGGTTTTGCTTTAGGAACCAACAATATGCAAAATTGTTAACGTGACATGGCTGAAAAGAAAAACTGACAATTTTGTATATGCATACAAAACAGTAGTTTGATTTACCAGCCTAACATATTGAACAAACACTGGGCAAAATACTGTATTATTAGCAAAATCCCTGCTATTAGACATATGACCCATCACTGAATAAATTTGCGACAAAATGCTGTAACGTTTGATTGGATGCACAGCCTGTGACAATAACAACTCGTTATGGCAATTGTTTTTTTCCCCTTTTAGAAGCCTATTTATTCTGATATCCTAAGGGGCCATTCACACATGACACATTTTTGTGTTTGAAAGCGTGAGACGCAGGGCAGTGGAATGAAAAAAAGGCCAGAGTCACATTTTTCAAAATTGAACCTGTTTTTAGGGATGTGCTAGACCAGGGGTAGGCAAGTTCGGTCCTAGAGAGCCGCAGTCCTGCAGAGTTCAGTTCCAACCCTGAAAAAAAAACTCACCTGCCTATAGCCTTAGTAATCCTGAAGACATTGATTAGCTTGTTCAGGTGTGTTTGATTAGGGTTGGAGCTGAACTCTGCAGGACTGCAGCTCTCTAGGACTGAACTTGCCTACCCCTGTGCTAGACTAATCAACTAAACTATACTGCTGCTGCTAGTCGACACTGGAAATACTAGTCCTTTACATTAAATCTTTTTTTAACATTGTTTTATTGTATATATGGCATGGAAAAAATCATTTCATTTAAACTTAGACCTTGCATGTGTTACTTGCAGCGGGCACAGAGAAATGTCCACTCAGAAGACAAGAAGGTGAAGGCGTATTTTGACTTTGAAAGCAGGAAGGTTGTTTGTAAACTTTTTCATGTCAAACTGGCATATAACAATTAGGCTTGCTTATAGCTTTATTATTCTGGTGGTTATGAGTGAAAATAGCCTACTGATAAGAAATTAAACCGGGTTTAAGGGGAAACATTATAAATCAAACTTGATTGACAACAACAGATCCACATCCTAATGAATACAATACTCTTAAATAATGCATAGTTGCCAGTGCACATTAGGTTTTTCTTCCAATTTTGCTGTCTGTCATGTATATACATACTTTTTATGCACGAGAAGCATATTTAAACCCAAACATGCAAGTGGTGGCCATGGTATTTATATTGGTTAACTTTTAAGAAAGTCTGTTTATAATAGGCTATTGAGTTTGAATTCAATTTTCCTCTAATGCCTATTGATTTAGTAGATTTTAACAACTATGTCTATATTGTTTAATGCTGATTAAGTTTAATTTACAATCATCATAATGCAAGTAAAGCACAGTGCATATATAAGTACGCTGCATATATTTTTCAGCAACATTCAGTATGGGATTTGACTGTTTTATAGATTAAGTAGGCTTTTCAAATGGATTACATATACAACATTTTCAAAATACAAAATCTCTTTTTAAACAATAATGAAATTAGCTGTGGCACACATCCCTAGTTTTAACTTGAGAACCTTGTTTTTAGAACAGCATGCATGAGACGCTGCAAAAAAAAGACTTTTTAGTGGTAAAGGCATTAGAGGTTTAAATAACCTCTATGTGTGTGTGTGTGTGTGTGTGTGTGTGTGCGCGTTTTTGCTGTGGCATGTATAGTCTCAGAGAAATTCACTAAAATATAATGTCCTCATATGAGGATGCAGTGTCTCAGGAGGTTAAAGTTTCAACATTAGAATGAAAATATAGGAAATTGCACCATACAACCAATACATCACTGTCATTTTACTAAAGTCTTTTTCTTAGCTGAATTATTTGCAGGTGAGGTTGAAACGTTGAGCATTTTAATCAAAACTTATGCTGTAACATCTACTAAATGTGACTCATTGCTGAACATCTTGAATTTACTTGTAAGAAGGGAACTATGTTTGAAAATATCTGTACCATCTGGTCTAGGGAACCAGTTTGCCAGTTACTGCCTGACTGACTCCTGGAGTCACTCCTGAGAGAGCAGTATTTCCTACTGATAACTTTAAGTATTGCTGTCCCAATTTCCCAAGCAATAGTTAAGAACATCAGACTTATTTCTTTCCTTCATGTAAAATAAGTAGTTGTACAAATTTCCTTCTGGAAAAGATGCAGTACTAATCAAAAAATAGTATTACGTATTACTCTATGTTCTTTAAGTATCATTGTACCATAGAACCATCTTGTAAGTACCATAGTACCATAAAACATGAATATGGTAATCATTTAGTACCATCATATACTACATATACTACAAACGTTTTTTCAGTAAGATTTTCTTTTTTTTTTCTTTTAGGAAAGAACATTTATGCTGTTAAGTTAACAGTATGTTTGCAATATCTTTATCACAGTATACTTATATATTTTGAACCTCACAATAGCCAAAAGCTCACAGTAAAAAATTTAAGATTCAAACCATGCCAGTTTTTCTCTACTCCATCACCATCATGCACCAGAGATGTAGTGACATAAGACTGAAAGGTTTGAGATTTAACCGCAGAATTTGCATGACTTAGACAAGAATGAATTTTGTGTGTGTGTGTGCGCGTTTTTGTGACAAATGAGGACATAAATTTGTATAATGACAAGGGTATGACATAGGTATTACAAGGAGAAGGTGACTTTTCAGGACATTGTCCCCACTTTTCAAAACGCTTATTAATCACACAGAATGGAGTGTATTGAAAATCTGAAATAGCACAAAGTTGTAAGTAAGGGGTAGGTTTAGGGGTAGGGTTGGTGTAGGGCAATAGAATATATGGTCTGTACAGTATAAAAACCATTACGCCTATGGGATGTCCCCACTTTTCACAAAAACAAACCTGTGTGTGTGTGTGTGTGTGTGTGTGTGTGAGTGAGAGAGTGTGTTTAAGTGTATTATATAACCAGACCTTAATACTGATACAGTCACATAATTTCACCAGGTCCTAGTTTTACCGCAACAACAAAAGACCTGATGCAACAGCCTGTCACAGTCTCAGGGAAACTTCATTTTGTTTGTTAAACTGATGAGTGTAGCAGCAGAGATACTCAAAGGACACACAATAATGCAATAATTTTAAAGGGATGGGTCACCCAAAAATAAAAATTCTGTCATTATTTATTCATCACTCATGCTGTTCATACTGGAATGTAATCAGTTAATAATTACTTAAATTTCAGTCTGTTCTTCACACAAATCCTTGACTATAGTCTCAAAAATTCAAAGGCACAGCACAAGTCACAATGAGCACTTTTATGATGCTTTTATAATGTTTTTGTGTCCTATTTGAAGCTGGAAAGCCTCAATTTACTCACATGGAAGAAAATTCATCAATATTTTTCCTTTTTTGTTCAATGGAAGAAAATAAAATGGGTTTGGAATGAGAATGATGACAACATTTTTTATTTCTGGGTGAATTCTTCTTTTAAAAGAGTCATGGTCCATGTTGTTTTTTATGCCTCGCATGAGAAAAAAAACTGATATGGAAGGAAAAAAATCTCAGGATAAGTGAGTGTTTGTACCTGCATTTTGTCCATATGGCTCTGTTTAAACACAAAAGGGAAAAAATATATATATATAAATCAGAATAACAAGGGTCTGAGATGAAAAATATCACAAAACAAACAAAATACTCAACTATGGAAAAAAGGATAAACTGAACGGCTTGAAACAAAATCACAAGGTGTAAAAAAACAATATTAAAGATGGAAAAAAGCAAAAATTATGAAGGTCATAAAAATGAGGATACTCTGGAAAGACGCCCCATAGGGGACATAAGTTCTCCTCGAAAGTCAAGCTGATAGTATGTGACAAGCAGAAGCTTCTCAGAGTGGACTGACTGTCAGACATGGAGGTCTTTTATCAAACACATGAGGGATCCAGACAGGTTGCACCGGTCCCTTGTAGGTTTATCAGATAATTTGGGTAGACAGGTCCTTTTTGCACGAAAGGCAGACTCTGCTGACCAAGCCAGGAGTGTAGATTAGGATTTTCATAGCAGGATGCCATAGGACAGAAGGAAAGCAAAAATATTATATTTTACCTCTAGCAGATGCACCACTTCTTCGCGTTCTTTTTCAGCTTCAGCCTGAACCTGAAAATAAGAGATAGCATATTTAATTTAGCTGTGCAAATGCAATTCCATTTACTCAAAAACCGACAGACCCAAATCTCAGAAAGTAATTGCAACGTCAGTAGACATCATAATTTCACATTGATTCTAAAAGATTTGCCAAGATTTGGTTGGCAAAGCTACTTCATCTAATTTCAGACAGATTTATTGATCCCAGAGGGGAAATTCAGTATCTGAAGGGTAAAACTGTGAGTCACAGTTCACAGCAGTTACTCATAAGTAGGGGTGTAACCGTTCTCTGTCGAAGCGTACTGTTCTCCACCCACGGTTCGGCACACACTTGCACCGCGGTTCAACTTAAATCTGACAACGCATCTCTAATTTGGCTTGTTAAAAATAAAAAACAGTTAAAACAGACAGAGTTTGGTTATGTATGTTTCTGTCGATGGATACGCATTCTGGCTTCCCAATACATTACAAAAACAGCTATGAACAAAATAAATAAATAAATAAAAAATAAGTACTACTAACTCTTTGTAAACTGTTCATTGCGAGTGCCATATGCTCGAATATGATCAGTGTACTGGATCCGTGCATTGTCTTAAATTTTTTTATGTTAATCAAACAAAAGACAAGGAAATCACTCACTGCTCTTGATTGAATAGCTTTTGTAACTTTAATAAGGATTAATCTTTAATATTTACAGTCAAATATACAATTTTATTTTACATTTGAGTACTTTATTCAATTTCTGTACCTAAAAACTAATGTTAGACCTACCTTAAAAAACCTGAAAAGCACTGTTCATTTTATTTGTACTGTTAGTGCTGTTGCTTGTAGTTAAATTATTTGTTTATTTTTATTTGACAATATAGTCCTTTTTTCCCTAAACATAGCCGAACCGTACAGAAACCGTGACTCTAAAACCGTGTTACAAACCAAATCGTGAGTAATTTGAACCGTTACACCCCTACTCATAAGTGAGTAAAATTGCACTGAAAACTCTTTGTTTTTAGGCAAACAGGAAATTGTAAGATAAAGACAGGCTATGATTGCCATGCGAGTTGAATCAAGTCATTTGTGCATATATGCCTGTGTCGTGTATGTGAGGTAAAAGCTCTGTCAAACCCCTCCCTAGGGATCTGCACTGATGCGGTGTCTGCTGTCGGCTCTAATTGCTTTGTTTGCCTGTCGCTGCTCCTTCCTGAAAGGCCGCAGACACAAAGAAAAGCAAACAGTTCTGCAGCCATGATCCTATTATGTGACTGTACTGATTTTATCCAGCCCTATATGCCAGAATATCTATTGCTTCCATGTCAGAAGAATATTTTCTTATCCTTACGTCAACTTCTGCGGAAGGACTAGAATAAAATTATGGCATATCATGATCATTAGATATGATATAATAAATAACAGATGAATAAGATATTGGCGTGAGGAACTGAACTAGCTCATAGTAGTGATCTGTGCTGTAAAAAAAAAGCATTCATTTCAAACTCATTTGCCTTGCTAAATCTAATTTAATATATAGACAATAAACAATATTTGATCTCATATGACGCAATGTAAAGGCCTACAATAATGCGGTTTGACCAGTGTGTCACTGTAGCTGCAAGACTGTAATTCAGTGCTCCAGACTGCAGTCCAATAGAAGAAGACATGCTTATGAGATGTGCAAATGCAGCAGTACAGTGTGGGAAAGTTTACAAAACTGCAAACAAAAAATGCTGTCATGTGTAAAGGCCCTGATATACTCATGGTGAAGGCTATTGTAACTGTTGCACAAGTTTTTGTCCTGTGAGTCAGTGTTGAGTGTACCAACACTTCGTTCTTCATTTAGAGGTAAAAACAAGTTTGATATACACAAGCAGTGGCTTGCTGTTAGCGAAAATACCGACACTGATGAAAGCGGCATTTAAATGAATATGTAAATATGTGCTGCAAGCTTTTCTCTCAATAACAAAATAAACACACAACTAAGATGCCAGTGGTGAGAAAATAGCAGTTAAGAAAGCATCTGATTAGAGTGATGCGGATGGCACTCCAGTAAGTCACATCACATTTATTTATATAACATTTTATACAATAGATTGCTTTAAAGCAGTGGTTCTCAAACTGGGGTACGCGTACACCTGGGCGTACCTGAGATGACAGAGGGGGGTACCTGAACAAAATTCTGAGTTTTGGCATTCATTTAATTCTACCCCAACTTACAATAACATTAAAACCGAACATGTATTTCTGACAAGCAAAATGCTGCTTCTAATGTAAAAACAGGAAAATGGGAGTGCCGTAAATGGTCAAATACATGATATCCAATGAGCTTACCTCATCTTTTGCGGTCACAACTGACGGCATCCACACAAGCAGCGGGCATCGCGCTGCTGTTCAATGTATCTTTAAAATAGATCTTTACTTAATAGCATGAAGAGCAAATATTGATACGGACTGAGATCGATTTAAACTCTCTTCGATACAGACACTCTGTGCGTGTTATTGTTTTCATGTTTAAGATACGAGCAAGAATGCAAATTTCCCTGAATATCCAAACGATAAATTTTTTACAACAGTTCAACAAAAAAAGGTAACATTATAAGTGAACATTTTACATTTTAAATGTAGCCTACATTTTAAACAGAATATTGTCATGTTTGTTCTATTTTGCAATTAAATAATAGTTCCAACTAAATCCATATCATCTGGTGTGCGTCTCCAAGCAACATACAGCAGTGTTTCGTTAGCTAACAAATCTGCGGCTTTTAACAATTTGGAGAGTCAGTGATTAATAACCCATTCATAACTATTTTGCTTCATTACTGAATGAATGAATGAATGAATGAATGAAGCGACGCCTGGCTCATTAAGACAGCGACTTGCCGCCACCTATTGGCAGTTTTATTTTTAAATCTAAAAGTATTACTTCGATTTGCCATAATTTATTGCTTTATTTACATTAATAATACACTTAATGGAATGTTAAGAATATGATATAAACATGACATACAATTAATAAAGATAGAAAATATTTGCCTCTATAAAGTTAAAAAATGCACCTGTAAATCAATTTAAGGGGGCAAATATTGTCCTTTAATAGAAAAAGTGTGACTGCGGTCTAAGTGGAAGAGACGGGGTACGCAGAAAAATGTTAAATGCCCCAGGGGGTACACCGCTGTAAAAAGTTTGAGAACCACTGCTTTAAAGCAAGCAGTATTAAATAGAAAAAAAGTCAGTGTTGCTTTCTGTTAGAATTACTATTTGATTTTCTACTACAAAGCAGCTCTATATGTATATTAACTTAAATGATTTTAGCAAATGGCTGCAATATAACAAAGAGTGAAAAATTTAAGGGGGTCTGAATACTTTCCGTACCCACTGTATAATATAGAATATGTATAAAATATGTATAACTCTATGTTAACTAATTGCAAAAGTTGAATAATTGATCAAAGCCTATACTGATTAATCGGTGAAATAATCTACGATTATTCGATTAATCATACTAGTAATCGTTGGATTAATTGATAATAAAAAAAAATAAAAAAAGAATTTACACATCTGCATAAATGACTAAATAACAGCTTGGTTAGATATTACAAATAAATATTATTAGTATTAAATATCCATACATAAAAGGGAACTGAAAAATAGCATATATGATGATGGCCTGTTATAAAGTTTACAAGACAGTTTTAATGTGACCTTCAAACTTACAATCTGTTAAATAAATAAAAATCAACCCCTGGGACATACAGTGACTGTAGTTAACGAACACACACATATGTGTGTGTGCAGGCATGTTTGAGGTTCACTGAGGTTCTTACCTTCTGCAGAAGGTTGATCTCCTGCTGTCTGGAGTTGAGGAAAGCCAAGGCCTGCTCATGCTCTGCCTCCAATTGCTGCCGCCGATCCGCAGCCTCTCGCATATGCTAAATGTGAGAAAAAGTAAAAACAGAAAGAGAGAGAAAAAAGGAAATTAGAATTAGGACATGTTTGTCACACATTTGTAGAAACTCCTGCTTTCTTAAATATACATTGTAAAACAAACCATTAATCACTGTTCAAACCTGCTGTTTTCAGGCTGCGGACAATGATCTGGGGGGAAAAGCATCATGAATAACCACACAGGCGCTTTAACAGACACATTAAGTGCAATAGTGACAGTGTGAGTGATGACACCAACAGCCACTGATGGAGCAGCACTTGGTAAATACAACATGAAAATTACGAAAACCAAGAATGCCACGATAAAAACTGATGAATAAAACACAATAAACAATGTCTAATGGACTGTTTGGGTTCAGGTTTCCTTCTCCTTTATTCAAGATTCAGCTAAACTGGACAAGAGTAGGACTGAAGCATATCAGATGTGTTGTGAGGCTTAAAAGCTTAAGCTTATAAGGTCTAAGATCCATTTTTTTCTCCCCATTTCTCTCACTGTCCTCATTTCCATCCTCTTTAAGAGAGTTAAAGCCTCTTTTCTTTGATGACTTTGGTGGGGTTTTAAGCGCACATACACACCTCACACACTCACATGGCTATACATTCAAAGCTTTGCATATTCATTAAAATAGGAGCAGATGAAGAGGAGAAGATAAACAACAAAATATATTTATTTTTACAAATGTGCAAATGAACATAAAATTTATTAGTTACATAATAGCATATAAAAGTTCAAAAGATACATAGCTACATTTTAAATTCATGTCGCTTCAAACCATGATTTTCTTCTGTAAAAAATAAAAGATATTTTGAATAATGTTTCTGTCCACACAATTGTCCAATGTTATTTTGGACCTCACAGTGGGACATTTTATCAAAAGAATTTCTTCTTTCTGGTTCCACAGAAAAAAAGTCATAGATTGACATGAGGGTCAGTAAATGACAGATGACAGCATCTGTTCATTTTTTTATTTTTGGGTGAGCTATCCCTTTAAGAATGTAAGATTTAAAATAGATGACTTGCCCAGTGGAAAGTTCAAATGAAACATTTCAGACAGAAATTCAAGAAGCTCTATTTTTTTCTTTAAAAGAAAATATTTTATTTCAGTCCAGCTGCTGCAACACTATCTGGAATGGTTATGCATTTCTGAGGAGCAAAAGACATCTTCAAACAACATCAAAAAGAATCCTGAAATTTTACAGAAAACCTCTTGTTTTCTGCTCGACTCATTGCTATACTACCTCTAGTTCTTTGTCTCATCTCATCTCTTCTGTAATCATTTATCACATAGTCAATAATAAGAAATGTAGGAGAGATAAATACATATTTCTCATATCAAAGTCGATTTCTTGTTATAAGAGCTTTCTTCCTCTCGAGACACATGACACAAGCAGTCCATAAAGTGACAAGTGCAGGAACACTTTTCATTGAACAATGAGTCAGCAACATGATGCTGGCAGAAACAAATCAGATAAATGCAACATCATTATCTGAGCTGGTATCTGTTTTTTCTTTAAAAGCAAGACTCTAAATACGATCTTAAATAATACTGATTGCTTGATTAGATATTTAAAAAGCTGTCACAGTAAAAAAAGGAGTTTAATGATATAATAAACAGTCAGTTTACAGTATTTTACAAGGCCGTCTCTGTCCTCAAAACTCTTTCTAAATCATTGGTGTTACTAAGATTAAAGTTTGAGATGCATATTTCCAAGATGTATTGAATGCTGGCTGGATTTGAATCGGTAATCAAACTACTGTTTCACTAATATCCAACAATGATCTTACCTTCAGGACCTGCTCAAGGTTCTCCAGTTTGTCTTGGAGCTGAGCCTTCTCCTGCCTGGCAGAGTCTTTCTCTTGACTCACACACGCAAAAGCCTTTCTGAGCCGATCATAGTCTGACTTTACCTACAGAAACAAAATGAGGATATATAAACTGTTTTAAGTCACAAAAATCCAGCTAAACTTACATAACTGTCACTTAAACAATGAAAAGCAGAGCTAATAGAGGAACCTTGGCCAGACTTCAAATGTTGGACATTTAATTATGACCACAACAAAAGGAAGAAAATGGCTGACTCTGCAATAGTGCTTAAATGCGTTTTACAATGGACCGTGAGAACATATTTCACAATGAGTGTGGGTCTAAGCAGAATTTTTTTGAAACAGTATTAATCATTTTGCTAGATTATTTCAGTAGTTATTTTTCATTCTCATAAAAGGTGCAGTGATTCTTCATAAGGCTTGAAACATAACTCTCTGGCGCTGTAGACTATATAATAAAAATTCAGGTAATTTGTATCTAAGGCATCAGCTCTAAAAATAAAGATTCAGTGTTCAAAAATGTGTTTGACTTTTACATTGACTCACGATGTTGGCAGAACTCAGAGAAACACAACTAATCACCTGATGAGTGCAGAAGAGGGTCACCTCAGGACAGAGTCAAAAAGGAATCCATCCAATCAAAATTCACCACTCAATATATCACATACTAGTGGCTGCATCATTCTGGCACATGCCCATACTCTCTCTCATTTATTAGCACACATTTCATCCGTTCAGGCTCAGAGAAATGGGGAGGTTGAGTCACATCTTGTATCGATTTAAGATCGGTATATGAGATTGCGCCTGGTGCAGAAGCGTGTGACAAACCGACCCGTCCCACTTGGGGTTATTTACCTACTTTTCTCAGCCTTGTTAGCACCACTGAATGCTGGGAAATGAGCCTTTGATCATTGAGGGAAAGGGAATGAGAGCGGGCAGCACTACCTGATTAAACAAAAGACATTTTATCTCAGACACTTGTCTGGGGTTGTGACAGATGGCCCTTTTTGCTGTTAGAGGAGAGGAGCAGCCTGTGGATTATTCAGAAAGAGACTGCCAAACCGTGGCATGGCGGCTTGGCAAAAAAAAAAAA